CTTGCTCTCGCTCTCTCTCTCTGCGTGTGTGTGTGTTTGTGTGTGTGTGTGTGTGTGTGTGTGTGTGTGTGTGTGTAGTGTAGTGTAGTGTAGTGTATACACACGCACATTGTCTGATTGTGGAATGTTAGTGAACCATCCAGGTAAGATCAGATCCCTCCTTCTCTAAAGCAAGTGCGTGCGTGCGTGCGTGCGTGCGTGCGTGCGTGTGTGCGCGCGCGCGCGCACACACACACACAGTAATTAGAGTCACCAGTGACAGAAAGCCCTGAGGAAGATGCACAGCTGTGAACAGAGATGCTTTTCTACTTGAGTTTGAGCATCCTCCTCCATGGCAAAGTACGGAACAGCAATGGCTCACTGGTGTATTTGCAGACCCCTGAGCCACCAGTGTTGGAAAGTAGGAAGACCCTTACTCTGGAACCCTCCCGGAGTCATTGCATTGTAATATATTGTCAGTAAGATGTTTGGTCAATTTGATGTATTAGAATTTTCTTTCAAATTTGGGATAGATTACTTACATTTTAAGAAAACCCTACATTGGAATAGTATTCTCTTCTAGTATAAAGTATGTTTTAACTTGTGAATACATTTTCACATAATTTTGATTATTTTATTAAAATAGTACTTCTATGTTAGAAACTTTCTTTCTTTTTCCTTTCTCTTTCCTTTTTGATTTGAGACAGAATCTCCCTAGTGACCCAGCCTCACCTCTTCCTGCCTTCTTTAGTTTAAGAATTGCAGATGTATTCCAACATACCTAGCTTGCAACATTTCTTGATCTTAAATTACAGTAATGACTAGCAAATTAATTTTTGGCTTTCACAAAGAATTCAAAACTGTGACAACAGAGAAGAAAAGATTCATTTTGTTACTGGTTTGATATGTATTTTTATGTTGTATGCATTTATAGGTGTGTATAACTTAAAAGTATTTTGTTTGTATATATATGTGTGTGTAAATATGTAAATATATATGTAACATATATATATATATAAATATACATACATATATGCCTGTGCAAACAGTGTTTTAAGATTGTATGACCCCTATTAATCATTTTTTTATTGGTTGGAAATCTGGCTGTAACTTGTATTACTGGACATAGTCCTTCCTTAAACTTTTTGAAGATATTATTGGAAGGCCAGAGGTTCATTTGATGATACTTGCAAACATGATTTAGTGTAGTGTACTGACTGAAAAATACAGAGACTAATACTTCCTTGCTTAACTGGTAAATTAAGTTACAGAGTGCCTGTGAATAGAATTCGCTGATGTCCAGTGGAAGGTCTGCTCATATATATGGTCCAGTGACTTTAAGGGATCGTCTTGAAGGTTAGGAGGAAGTTCTAACCCTGAGTCTATTGAGGAATGGTCAAGTCATGCCATGACAAGTGCTGATTTGTGGAGAAGTGCAGCCCTGTGAGTGGAGGACTGATTAGTCTTCAGATGGTAAAGTGTGGTAAAACGGGAAGCTAGCCACAACCGAAGGGAGCTGACTCTTAGGGAAGAGATGGCAGGAAAAGCATGTGGGAAGAGCTTCATCCCATGTCCACAGCCATGGCTCAGTACTCACTGGGATGGCATGAAAATGGGGCCTCTGCGTTGTGGCCCAGAGACTGTGTGACTGCACCGCCTTTGAAGCTCAAGCTGAGGAAGATGAACTATTTGATAAGCATGTAGGCATTCAAAGTCTCCAGTAAGGCGAATCGAAAAAGGAAGTTCCTGTTTTCTAGAATATTGTTTGTTCTATTAGCTAAATTTAGTGGTTGGGAGACCAGGCAAGAGACCTTGGGGGAAACAGGTGAGGGCAATCAGACATCAAAGGGCAAGTGTAATCAGAAGTCAGGCCCTTCAGAAATGTTAATTTGTTATTCATGCTGAAATTACGGAAGTTAGAATGCACCTATACTGCACAAGTTACTGTGTCAGCAAACAGAAGGTGCTCAGCATTTGCCTTTTGATCTTTCTGTTGCCTCTAGTGGTTGGTTGGTTTAGAGGGAAAAGGTAAAGTTGGGCAAAACCTCACAGTAAATTAGAAGGATCCAGTACGAAATACCTGTTTTAATGCTCCACCTACCACTAACTATTCTGTTGCTGATGAGACATTTAAAGTGCTCAACTTCTTCAAAGTCGTGTAAAGAAATGGCAAAGTTCTAATTGCAAATGAACTAATTTTGTGGCCTAATTTGATAAGTCTAACAAGCCTGTCCACTGCCCTCACTGTAGCCACCAAATTTCTTCCCGTTCCTGGGGAAGTGCAGCCCTTCCCTATACACTTGTTTGATTTGGGTTAAAATTTGACCCTCACTGATGACAGAGCACAGCATCTAGAGTAAAGAACATGTGTAGTGGTTCTCTGCCGGCCCTTTGTCTCATTGAACATTGTCTCCCCTAACTTCTAAGTCATTTTCTCAATTTTGGAAGTTTTTGCACCCCACCCCACCCCTATGAATTTATGCTTACCTAATTTAGAAATGACTGTTTCCACTCACTCTAACCTGTCTTGTGGTTCAATCAAATTACATTACATTGTGTGGTTCAGGGGAAATAAGACCTGTTTAGGCTTGTTGGTAGACACAGAGGGAACCGGTAACACTACGACTGTCACTACTCCTGCTTGCTTTCCTCCTCCTGAGAACCCAGAGGAGCAGTCAATCACTCAGGACTTCTGAGAGCCAGTATAATAAACTGTCTTCGCCCAGTGGCTTGATGGTGACCTATCCTGTGTCCCGAGATTGCTTCCTGCTAGGCCTCATTTTCTGTTGTTTCTTCTCATGATCAAACTTGAGAAGCAGAGTTGGGTCTCAGAAACCTTGGAAGCCATGTCCCACCCCTTGAGACCATCCTGCTCAGTTCCTCAGCCCGAGGACAGCATTGTTGGACTGGATTCTTTGTAACTCAGGAAATTTCTGTATGTCATCTGATCTTCTCAGTCACCGTACCAAGTCTCCTATGGTCCGCTGTACCACCAAACCCAAACTGTGTGCTCCTTTTTTGAAACCTCCCTTGTGGCTAAAAACAGCAGTAGCTTCTTTTGCAAACATGTTTTATTTTAGCTGCAACAACAGAGAAAACATTCATCACCTACTTTTTAAGTAGGTTTCTTTCTGCATTTTCAGTCACTTTTCCAATATACAGGCCTTGCCTGTGGAGAACTATGCTCACAGTATGCATTTGAGAGAGGGCAGGAGATTGGTGGAGATGACCCTTGCATATAGAAGTCATCTGGCTAGGGCTAAAAAGGGAAAGCAAAAAGAAGAGATGGATTTTGAAGTCTGAGTCTAGAGCTCTAGCAGAATGGAGGCAATGATAATATTATTTTTAAAAGGCTTTTTTTTTTTTTTTTTTTGTACTTTGATGTTTCAGATGCTACGGAATACCCACTTAGGTGGTGGGAGGCAGAGAAGGCTTTGGTGGTATTTGTGGGCACCAAACCCTTTCCCTCCACGTTCTCAGAATGTGGCAGGTAAGGTACCACACATATCAACTTCCCTTCTCTGCAACCGTGTTAGAAAGCATTGGAGCAGAGCGCTTTAAAGAGGCGTTATATAAACACAGGGCAATACAAATACAAAATAGCCTCTACATCATTTTGTTTGATTGTCATGTGTGTGTTTCTCTTTCAGGTTCATTTTCCAGACACCGAAAGAGCAGAATGGCTAAATAAGGTAAGATTAGCATATTCCAAATATTCATGGAAATTAGAGGGCCAGAGACTGTCTTCCCATGTTTGGGAATTTCAGCATTGGTAGTATTGGAGTTGAGATTGCAGTGAGCAGGCTTCCGCTCTCCAGAGGACTGTTGCAAAGCAGTATGTGACTTTCCCTTGGGAAGAACAAGAGCTGTGTCACTGATCTAAGATTTATGCATGCGCTTGCATGGTATTGCCATCTGGCTTGTGTCTTCATTCTTGAATAGAGGCTGCTCACAAATGCTTTATAGAAATCTCAAGCAGACAATCTAGAAATACTATAAAGAGAAAAATAACTTGCAAGAAACTACCCATCTATAATACCTTTTAATGGATGTTTTTGTTTCAGTAAGTTTTAGGCTGAATCTCTCTTGGCTGGTGTTTTGAGCATCTCTAAGGCAATATAGTGACCCTAACCTAGACAGGAATCACTTTACTATTGTACAAGTTAATAGTGGTTATAAAATGCAGGAGTGATTACTGAGGTCCACACAGCTTTTGTTGGGTTTGATTTAGTTTTGTTGTGATGTTGAGATCAAACCAAGGGCCACAGGAGGCAAGAAAGCCACTGAATTACCCTCCCAGCCTGAGATCTGTGGCTTTTTTGCTTTGTTGTTTGTTTGTGAGACAGGGTTTCTCTGTGTAGCCCTGGCCATTCTGGAACTCATTCTGTAGATCAGGCTGACCTCAAACTCAGAGGTCCACCTGCATCTACCTTCTGAGTGCTGGGTTAAAGATTAAAGGCATGTGCCACCACTGCCTGGCCATAATTTAAGTTTCTCCATTCAGTTGAAGCCATGGAACTTTTAGTGATTATTAGATATGCAGACAAAGAAACTAATTCCTGTAACATATTGTCTAATCAGTTTATTGTTGAAATAAATGCTAAACATTCAGAACCCATTTGATAGGGCTGCTTTTGAATAACAAGACCATCTCTGCCTTCTGTTTTAGCTTTCAAAGCCAGTTTCTGACAGACTACACGATTAACATTTTCCTTAGTGACTCAATTAAACCATATATCATGCATTAGAACAATTATTTATCCTGAGTTCCTTTTCCTTCTAGACCGTGAAGCACATGTGGCCCTTTATTTGTCAGTTTATTGAGAAGCTCTTTCGGGAAACCATAGAGCCAGCTGTGCGGGGAGCAAATGCCCACCTCAGCACCTTCAGCTTCACCAGAGTGGACGTGGGTCAGCAGGTCAGTCCTTCCCTCCATAGTGCCCTTTCTCATGCACACAGTAGGACTGTTGTGAAAGCACAGCTGTGTGACCACTCTGCCGGCCCTGAAGGAAATTGCTCATTAAGGAGACCCATTGAAAGGCCTGCAAATCCCTTAGGATCCTCCCCACGATGGGTTCTGACTTCCCCTGAATGTACCTCACCTCACTCTGCTGTTCTTCATATTTTGTTGTTTCTGTTTTACTTTTTTAATTGATGTTTATTTTTGTTTGTGTGTGTGTGTCTGTGTGAGAATATGTCATACATGCATGCAGGTGCTCGTGGAGGCCAGAAGGTGGCATCAGAGCCTCTGTACAGCTGCCTCGTGTGGGTTCTGTGAACCAAACCCAATCCCTGTGGAAGAGCAACAAGTGCTCTTAACCACTGAGCTATTTCTCTGGCCCTGTTTTTGGCTCTTTTTTATAGTGACAATTTTAAATACAGATTACTAGCTTTAACAAATATTAATCCAAATTAAAGGTGGGGGGGCATACACCTTTAATCCCAGCACTTGGGAGGCAGAGGCAGGCTCATCTCTGTGAGTTCAAGACCAGCCTGGTCTACAGAGTGAGATCTGGGACAGACAAGACAACACAGAGATGCCCTGAAATTTACATCTTACAGATGAGAAAACTAAAGAATAAACGTTAAATAAATTGTCAAAGCTAAACAGTGTGTTATCAACCAGAATTGTACTTGTCATCTGATGCTAAACTTGTTCTTATCACATCTACTCTGCATTTTAAGTTTGTTTGCTTTTAAGCCTTTCTCCGTTTTAAATTAAGCTATTTATTGTTTCAGCCCCTTAGAGTCAATGGTGTTAAGGTTTATACTGAAAATGTAGACAAAAGACAAATTATTCTGGACCTTCAGATTAGGTAAGTTTTTATTTGTGTTACATTTCTGCCATGGCTACTAATTCATAATGTTCAATTAGCTGTATGTATAAGATAGAGGATATAATGAATTTCTTGTCTGCTTTTCATTTGACTAACTTCTTCTAGATCTAAATGTTAACAACTTTTGAGTTCCTCATACTCTAGATAACTGTCATTCATTAAATATATTAAATATAATGGGGCTGGAAAGATGTCTCAGCAATTAAGAGCACTTGCAACTTTCCAGACAGCCTGAGTTTGAGTCCCAGCACCCACAAAGCAGCTCACAGCCATCTGTAACTCCAGTTCCAGGGAATCCAGTGCCCACTTCTGGCCTCCACCGGCACCAGGCACACACCAGGGTACATAGGCATCCATGCAAATAGACCCATACACATAAAATAAAGTAAATGTCTAAAAATGTACTGAATAAGAGAAATCATATCATCTGCAAGAAAACTATAATCTAATAAATAGTCCTTATGAACAGTATCTAAAAATCCTCAACAGAATGCTAGCAAGTTGAAACTAGTAGCAGAGATTATATACATGAACAAGTAGAATTTATTCCCAGAATGCAAATTCGATCCAGGATATGAAAACCTATCTGTGTGGGTGGTGGGAGTCCTTCATGGGTATCTCACTTGGCACACAAGATGAATTTAGCATACTGGTACTCTTTCATGATTTAAAAAAAAAAAAAAAAAAGTTCAACCTAGAGAAGTTAGACAACACAATGAAATAAAAGGAATCCAAATTGAAAAACAGTGTTTACAAATGAGATCTTACAGAAAAAAAAAAAATCCACAAAACATTTTGAAGCCAGTTGTGATGGCTACACATTTAATGACAGCACTCTGAAAGCATTCAAGTTCCAATCCAGCCAGGGCTGCATAGTGAGGCTGTTTTAGTCAGGGCTTCTGTTGCTATAAAGAGACACCATGACCATGGCAGCTCTTATAAAGAAAACATTGAATTGGGGTGGCTCGCTTACAGTTCAAAGGCTTAGTCCATTATCACCATGACGGAGAGCATGGTGACATGCAGGTAGACATGGTGTTGGAATACTAGCTAACAGTCCTACATCTAGCAAGCAACAGGAAGTGAACCAAGACATTGGGTGATATCTTGATCATAGGAAACCTCAAAGCCCACCCCTGTAGTGACACGGTTCCTCCAACAAAGCCACACCTCCTAATAATGCCACTTCCTGTGAGATTATGGGGACAAATTACATTCAAAATACCACAGAGACCCTTTCTGAAAAAATTAAATAAACACTTAAAACTAAAATTAATTCAACCAAGTAGCCAAATTCAGTCAAATCAATTGCATTTCTGTACATTAACAATGAAAAACTACTGAGAGGAAATAAGGATGATTTCACTTGTGATGGGATCAGTAGACAGCTCAGTTGGTAAAATGGTTGCTTTGTTCAGTCCCTAGCACCCACTAAGGAAGCAAGCATGGTGGTTCATTTGTAATCCCGGGATCGAGGAAGCAGAGACAAGAGGATCTTTTATGCTAAGGCCTAGCCTTAATCTGTGAGCCCTGGGTGTCAGTGAAAGATTCTTAAAATAAACAAGGCAGGGGGCTATTAGCAATTGAGTATGCTGTTTTGAGCCTAGACTAAGGGTAATTTTTTTTTTTATCCTTTATGAGTTTCCATAGTATATTATTATAATAATTGCATAGACTTTGTATCAATTGCCTTTATTTTAGACAGAAATGTTGGATGTCTTTGATATGGCTAAATTTCATCTTTAAAGTATCTGGTGCTTGTGCAAATACCATTGTCGTCAGTGGAATAAAAGAGTAAGCACGTTTATGGGTCTTAACTAGCCAGGCTCTGGAAGGCTTGCAAGCAGACCTGAGTGGTCCCCCTGTGACTTTGGTTAGACTGCATCTCACAAGTTCTGTCTGTGGGACCAATGACAAGCTCCATCGGGATAGAAACCTTGTACTCGCTTGCTCGTTGTTTGTGGTAGAATATTGTTTTAAGGTGTGTGACTTTTGTTTAACTCGGTGCAGCTGTGATCCTTTGCTTGTCTAAAACACCTGATGATCTAATAAACAGCTGAACGGCCAATAGCAAGGCAGGAGCAAGGATGGGCAGGGCTGTCAGGCAGAGTGTAAAGAGAGGGAGAAGCAAGTAAGAGAGGAGCAGCAAGAGAACGAGAGGAGGATGTCAGGGCCAGCCACCCACCCAGCCATGGAGTAATAGTGAAACTAAATATATGGGACTAAGAAAGATAAAAGCCCAGAGACAAAGGTAGATGGGATAATTTAAGCTAAGAAAAGCTGACAAGAAGCAAACTAGGCTGGCCATTTATAAGTAAGAATAAACCTCCATGTGTGAGTTATTTGGGAGCTGGGTGGTGGACCCCCCCAAACAGCCAAAAGAGCAGAAACATTGCCCAACAATTGTTCTAGCATTAAACAAACTATTAGAGTAATTCCTTCAATGGATATCAGTTTGAAAATGCAGCTTTAGCAGCAGATAATACACTACGATTTTGTATGTCAAAGATAGAGGGAAGTTGAAAAGAATTGGGAAATAAAGAGAACATGTGTTGGGTTTTATATTGGTTTAAAAAGGAAAATTTTTATGATAGTTTTTAAGTAGGTTATTGACATATTAGCAACAAGGTAGACTAATCCTCAGTATGAGGATTATGTATATAATGGAAGAATTTTGTTCATTTGCTTAGGTCTCAACCTGTGGTTTAGCAACTATTAGAAAACATGTTTTTGATAGTCTTACTGAGACACTGCTCCATAGCGAAATCACAGTTAGGAAGTAGCAACAAAAAGATAACTTTATGGTTGGAGGTCACCACAATGCAGTTGGAGGAACTGGGTTGTCACAGATTAGGAAGGTTGAGAATCACTGGCTTAGACCCTTCCTAATTTGACTCATCAAATTCCCCAGACCTGCACAAACAGGTTTATGATACCATACTTCTTTTTTTGTTGTTGTTGTTTTGTTTTGTTTTTGAGACAGGGTTTTTCTATGTAGCCCTGGCTGTCCCAGATCCCACTCTGTGGACCAGGCTGGCCTAGAACTCACAGAGCTCTGCCTGCCTCTGCCTCCCGAGTGTTGGGATTTAAGGTGTGCACCACCATTGCCCAGCTGATACCAACTGCACTTCTAAGAATGAAGGATAGGCGTATGTCAGCTTGACACAGGCTAGCGTAATTTGTAAGGAGAGAACTGCAATTGAGAAACTATTGCCATAAGATCAGGCTGTGGACAGGCCTGTAGGTCATTTTCTTAATTAGTGATTAATCTGGGAGAGCCCAGCCGGTGATGGGTGGGACCATTCCTCAGCTGGTGGTGCTGGGTTCTCTGAGAAAACACTGTAAGGAGCCAGTAAGCAGCATCTCTCCATGGCCTCTGCATTAGCTCCTGCCTCCCGGTACCAGCCCTCACTGCCTTTGATGTACTGTTGTATGGAGCTGTGGGTGAATTAAATCCTTTCCACCCAATTTGCCTTTGGTCATGGTGTTCCATCATAGCAATAGTAACCCCAGCTAAGACAGGTCAAATTCCACACCATCCCATGGGGAAAGTAGTCAGCATTTTATGTTTATGTTGGAAGTAAATGCCTGCCTTGCACTGTCATCTGTTTGAAACTCATCACTGAGAAAAGTAAAGGTTCAGAGCAAGCTGTGCTAACCGTTAACACCATGAAGCCCTTTAACATCTGAGGGAGGATTTTGTGACTAAGGAGAAAGGGGGTGAGATCTGCTGCTGACAGAATAAAATCTAGCCTTTGTTGGGTTTTAAACAAAGGTTTTGTTATACAAATAAAAACACCTTTCATCAAAGGAGTGCCCCACTGCCCCAGCCCTCACCTGATCAAGTCTGCTACCACCCAGGCCCACCCCAACACCTACCATCAAAGCCGCAGGATCTCCATGACTCAGGGCAACAGCAGGCTGTCTGAGAGGAGCCCCGTGAGGATCTGGTATTGACAGTGTCAAGCCAGAGGCTCTGAAGTAGACCACTGACTCATTGCAGTGGACATTTCCAAGAAAGATATACTGTGTGACACCCCTTGACATACCACAGCTTCCACAGTGAGGTTTATTTTATTTTTCTATTTTCTCTTGTGAGGAAGTTACAAGGGTGGAGGATGGACATGGAAGGACTGGAAAATGAATGGTCTTGGGGTGCATGGTGTGAAATTCACAAAGAATCCATGAAAAATTATGAGGGGGGGAAGTACTCCATTGTTACTTATATTTCCCTTTGAAAGTGGATGTTTACATACTTGTAATTTTTTTTTTTTTTTGAGATAGGATTTGAGCTCTCTGTGTAGCTAAGGACGAAGTCATTCTCCTACTTACAACCTTTGAGTGCTAAGAATCCAACATAGCCTTTATGCTTGATTTATGTAAGACTGGGCATTAAACCCAGAATGTCTTGCATGCTAGGCAATCAGTCTACCAACTGAACCATGTCCTCATCCACTTTGGTTTTTTTTTTTTTTTTTTTTTTTTTTTTTTTTTTTTTTTTTTGCAACACTGGCTTATATTATATAGTCCAGACTGGCCTTAAACTGATAGTCCTCCAGCTTCAGCCTCCCATGAGTTGGGTATCTAAATTTAATTAAGATTTTTATGTGTAGCAAAAGCAAGAGGATAGGCACAGTATTCTTCACAGGTGATAAAGCAGTGTTACACCCGGCAGCAGTGTGTCCGTGCAGCCTGGAGTAGGAAAGTAGTCTTCTAGTACGGGCTACATTTTCAGTCGGTTTTGCCTACAGTATGAGTAGGGGTACTTTGCCGTTCTCTTGCTTGGTTATATAATTTGCAATGCCTAATCCTAATAGATAACAAAGAAGATAATTAATTCCACTCGATGTAACTAATGCTGAATTTTTCTGTTCTAGTTTTGTAGGAAATTGTGAGATTGATTTGGAGATCAAACGATATTTCTGTAGAGCTGGTGTGAAAAGTATTCAGGTAAGTCATTCATATTTTCATTTTAGGGGTTTTTAGGCTATATTCAGAAAGGAAAGCTATGGAGTTTTTATTAGCTGGGAAGGTTTTGGAAGTAAGTTTGTATCTGTGGTTATAGCTGAGTAACTCATGAAGCCATGTGCTTAAAAGTCACCAAGTGCCTTGGAAGAACTGTGTTTTTCTGATTTGTGATTTCCTGTGTGAGCTCAGATTCATGGGACAATGCGAGTGATCCTGGAGCCCCTGATTGGAGACATGCCTCTAGTGGGGGCACTGTCCATCTTCTTCCTTAGGAAACCAGTAAGTACATGTTTGTTTCATGATGACATGTTTATCATGCCTCCCTTGGCAGTAACAGGGATCCACAGAGGATAACATGGAAGAACAAAACTCTGTCCTTAACTCTTGCCCTGTGACGCCCAAGTCCTGAGTGCTTCCCTCCTTTATACCTAAGTAGGGGTTTGGTCTCTATAAACAACGGCCTTCCCTGAATGTAAAAATACCTGTCTGTAGAATGGAGGAAATAAATTTTTAACTAAGTCAAAGCTACCTTTGACCTGTCACAGTGTGTGATTTTATAGCATTTGCTGATTTAATTCTCATACTTGCGAAGCGAGGTACTGTTCCCTTTTACTGGCCTGGAACTGAGCTGAAGAGGTCTGTCTGTCTGAGTCAGCCAGGCGTTAAGGACTGGAACTCTCACATAGGCCCAGGTAGTCCCATACAGACGTCTCCCTCTGATTCCCTCCTGAGATGAATGCTCCTCTCAGGTGTCTCTTCTGCAGCTTTGTATGCTCTGCTTTGCAAAGGGATTTTTTGATTTTAGATTGTGTTTCTTCTGTTATTGTAGTACATGCTCTAGAACAAGGAAAGAAAGCTATTTCTGCCCTGTACCAGACAGGCTTCTTTCTCCTCACCTGAGTTCCTGCAGCCTGTGGTTTGTGCTGTCTTCGTTGTTTTTTTCTTTTCTTTAAATTCTGGGAATTGAACCCAGGGCTTTGTGCCTGCTGGGTAAGCACTGGGTCTGCACTCAGCCCAGCACCCTCATCCTAATGGCATTTCTCACTATTGCCTAACTGTGCGGCCCAAGCCCCAGCCACAGAGATGGAATGTCTACTGAGGGAAAATACTGACCGTGTCTTCTTCTCTTTCTACACTTCTTTTTCTCCAGAATTCTATCTTGAGCTGTTTTATTTATTTCTAGAAGATTTCTGTGTGCCCTCCAAGCCAGGTTGTCGCTGTAGTGTGGAAAGTTGTGTGGCAGGAGCAGTTAGTGCTAAGGCGAAGGGCATGTGTGTCCCCAGAGTTCAGGGAGGCTCGTGCGCTGCCTCCTAAGAGGGACGCTGCTTTTGATCCTTGGCAAGGTACTACGAACATCACGTGTAATTTAAATGGAAGTTTCAGTGTGCGTAATCTGGCTCAAAAGACTTAATGAAAATTATTTCTTGGTTTTGAAAATATGGGTTTAGCTAGAGCAAACCAAGTGTGGCATGGTCAGTGCTTTTTCTTCATGAAAATGCATCTGTTGCCTCCAGCATTATTGTTCTCCCTCTCTGATTTTTGATGTGTTTAAGTGGACAACCTCTTACGTTAAAATTCAGAAAGCTAGCAAGAATTTGTTCATTTTTACTTTATTAAATTTTTGAGAAATAAATTCTTTTCTTCTTCCAGTTTTTAAGCCAGTTCATGTAAGAGCTACTCCATTAATGACTATTTTAAAAGTTCTTTAATAAACTGCTAAAAATTTTAATGTGTCTGTCTTTGGAAGTATTCTTAATATAAAGACCCTCTCAGAGTGACAAAACTAAGATCTGGAGTATTCCTCAGAACTTGACAGTGCTCTTCCATGGTCTGGTTCTTCCACAAACGAAGCCACTTGTCAGATAGCTTACAGTATTAACTCCCAAAAGCGTTGGAATGCTAGAAGCGAAGGATGAAGTTGAAATGTTCAGAATTGCCCTTTTCCTTATATGGTGAATAAAACCACTGAACACGCTTTAGAGGGAAGGGAATTTTTTTCAGTTACTTTCAACTGGAAAATATGAGAACTTACTACCGTTAGCTGCCAAATAATTCTTCCTGAGCCTGGTGAAAAATATAATCAGAAGGGCCTTTTTGTTTTACTATTTTTTACTTCCAGGATGATTCAGAGACTAGTGCCAATGAATCGTATAAAACACTTACATGCTTTTCTGCTTGTTGACTTAATTAATTAGTTCTGATAATGTGTTACTTACTGTGGAGGGAACCCCTAAACATTCTTGACCTGATGAAGTTTGAAGCCAAGGGAACAGCCCATGCTGAACAGCGGTGGGATGCTTTGGGGACGGGGAGCAGCACAGTGTGGGTGCTGGTGATAGCTTCGTTGAATGGAAGTATCTTCCTGTTAGAGTTATAATGGGAAGAACTTGAATATTAGTGGGCTAGGATGACAGAAATTAAAATATTTAAGTAAAGGGGGGTGTTAAAGGAAGGGGAGGGTTCCTGGGCAGCACAGTAGAGCTGGCGGGTGCTGGGGAGTCTACCCTGAGGGCATGAGTGCAGGAAAGCTGGCCCCTCCCCCACCTGAGCAGCATGGGAGAGCTGGCCCTGGAGATGTGTGTGCTGGAGAGCTGCCCCCACCCCACTTACTAGCTACCCGCAGGAGAGTGGGCTCTGCACCTTGTCTGGGCAACACAGCAGAGCTGGCTCTGGTGGCAGAGCCAGCCCTAGTGGTATGGGTGTCGGAGAACTGGCTCTACCCCTTGCCAGCTTTGGTACTTGGGTGACCTGGTGCTTCCCCTCAACCAAGGCAGTGCTGGAGAGCTGGCCCTGGTGTGTGTGTGTAGGAGAGTGGGCAGGCTGACTAACCAACTCAGCTATCTCTCAGGCCCAGATCCAGGGCTTTGAGTTGGCCCACCCCACCATGTACCCCATTTAAGAACTCTGGAGCACGTTAAGGGACTGGCTCTGCAGAACCAAAGCTACACGATCTCCACAACACAGGGCAAGAGAGGCTATCTGAGGAGTCCCAGTGAGGACCCAGTATTGATAATGTGTCAGAAGTCAGAGGCCTCGAACTAGATCAGTGACTCATTACAACGAACACTTGGACGTTAAGCTATTTGGACAAAAGGATAGACTGGGTGACACACAGTAACACACACTGTAGTTTCCATATGAGACTTTTTCTTTAGTTTTTATTTTCTTCATCATTTTTAGTTTTATTTTTCTTTTTGGGGGATAGGTTACAAGGGCAGAGGACAAATATGGAGGGATGAGGAGGTGAGTGGGATTGGGGTACATGGATGAAATTCACAAAGAATCAATAAAAAGTTTTTTAAAAGGAGAGGAATTTTTAAAAAATAGAAATTATGTTTATTGTACAATTGAATCTCAGAAGCAAATTAGAACCAGGAGTGTGAATATTTTTTGAAACCAGAGGAAGACAGTATAATGTAACGGTTAAGTGACTTTTGGAGCTGGAGGGAAGGCAGTATAGTGTGACTGCTTGAGTGATCATAACTTCTGCTCAGTTCTCTCCTCCGAGGACAGCTCTGGTTTTCTAGGCCACAGGTCTGTGAGTGCTGTGTCCCGGCTGCTCTCTCTATTCGGGTCACCCAAGCCTGGGGTTAAGAGACCTACTGTGCAGAAGCCCATTTCTCCTTCCTTTCGGACAAGGCTGCAGACAGGCTGTAGATTCAAACCACACCCAGGAGTAGCCAAGAGCATTTATTATGCCAGGTTTACTCTGATCCTGTGGAGTCTACGGTTTGATGTCTTTAATTATCTGGGTAGTCTTGCACACCATCCTGAGTCTCCAGGTAGAACCCCGCTGGCTGCTTCTCCTGCCCATACTGTTTGTTTGTGATTGGCTTTTGTCAGGTAGACTGAGCATGGGGCTGTATTCTGCCACAACTCCCACAGGACCTCACTTATAACTGCAATGGGTGCCTACCTTTGCATCTTTCCACACATGGCCCCTGTCCCTTAAGAAGGAACGATGACAAGGTTTCTTTGTACCCTTCTATAGTGACAGCTGCTCTCCTTCCTGACCACACCCCTGCAGGAAGTAACCTCCCTGGCCTGATCTGTACTCAGTGCAAATGTACACGTGGCCACGTCAGTATGCATACCCCTGCCCTCGGGAGGGCTTCTCCTCCTCAGACTGGCCTCAGAGGAAGCATATCCATCTGGTTGGGCCCTGAGAACTCAGTTTTCCTATGCCAGCACCGGAGTACTCTTCCCAGGCTTTCCTGCCTAAGTTACGAGGAAGACATTCTTTTAACCTTACTGCCAGCCCAAAACTACCAAATAATAAATAGCATTAGGGTAAAACCCCACTGAAGACCAGTGGAGCTGTCAGCTTGCATTTTCAACAGACTTCCTAGATGACCTGCCTGAGACATCTGCCATGCAGTTAACACTCAGAGCCAGCTCCTGCTGTCAACCTTATCAGCTTTATTACATCCCTTGGAAAACCCCTGTGTGTGTGTGTGTGTGTGTGTGTGTGTGTGTGTGTGTGTGTGTCTGTCTGCCTGCCTGCCTGCCTGCCTGCCTGCCTGCCTGCCTGCCTGCCTGTGTTTATGTGTGTGTATGTCTGTGTATCTGGATGTCTGTGTGTGTGTGTGTGCGTGCGTGTGTGCATGTGTGTTTTTTATGTCTGCATGTGTGTCTGTGTCTGGGTGTCTGTCTGTCTGGATGTCTGTGTGTCTGTGTCTCTCTTCATGTGTCTGTGTATGTCTGTGTGTGTCTGTGTCTGAATGTCTGTATGTCTCTGTGTGTGTGTGTGTCTAGGTGTGTGTGTGTGTCTGTGTGTCTGTGCATGTGTGTCTGTGTCTGGGTGTGTGGGTATGTGTCTGTCTGTGTGTCTGGATGTCTGTGTGTCTGTGTGCATGAGTACACAATGATGCACATGTCAGAGTCAGAGGACAGCTCAGTCAGTTCTCTCCTCCTACATGGATCTCAGGAATTGAACTCAGGCCGTCATGCTTGCCAGCAGGTGTCTTTACATAAATCCTGAACCGCAGATTGGTAACATCTTACAGGGAGAGATGGAGGAGAAAGGGGGATGAGGCAACCAAAGGCAGGAGAGCAGGAGCAGCTTAGAATAGAGGCTGTTCTTAGAAACCAGCACTTCTTCCTGTGTGGGACAAGTGGGAAGATGATTTCACTCTGTCCTTCTGTAATCTAGCTGGGAAGTTCAAAGGTTACAGATGAAATCACTCCATCTAGGGCTGAATTATCTGTAAAACTCAAAGGCAGTTTTTCTCAGTTCTGTAGCCATAAATTTGAATACCTGCCATTAAGACTGGTTTTATACATAATTCTTTAAATGTCTATGTCCTTAGCTTCCTTTTTTTGAGATTGTACTGAAATGCTTTTATGTCTGTGCACAAAGCTTTCACGCTGGGCAAACATGGTGCTGTTTAATTTATTATTTTCACAGTAGAAAGACTTCTTTAAGACTATTATTAGTCTTCAGAGAGGTGTTTTTTTTTTTTTTCTCCAGGTGCCCATAAGCAAAGCGTTTTAAATGCTCTTTTATGGAGATTTTATGTGCCGGTGTCTTGTGTGACTTAAGTACTAACAGCATGTTGATGTTTCAGTGCAGTGCCAGGCCTTTGCAGTCTTGGCTGGTTATCAGCTGGTAGCCATCACCTGTCTGTTCAAACAGAAGCATGCTCTTTTGGAGATGGAGAAAGGGGAAGACAGAGTCTCTATAGTTCACACTGGCCTGAAACTCACTGTGTACATCAGGCTTGCCTTAAGCTGAAGCCGTCTTAGCCAGCTCCCTGGGCGCTGGGGATCTCATACACAATCGTCGAGCTTCTCTCCTTGCTCAGAGTCCTACTTTCATAAGTAAAACAAGTCAGCCATTAGGTACTTACAGTGATGTTTTATTATTTACAAAATTAGTCAGAGAGAGACATCTTTGTTGCCTAGATGGGCTCCAACTTTTGGACTCAAGCAATTCTCCTGCTTTAGCCTCACAAGTGACTGAGATTCAAGGCACATTGCGCTGGCCATGGTTTTTATGTATGTTGTGATAGATTTCTTGAGCAAACCATGGGCACGTCTTACACCCTGCCAGTCTTGCTGCGGTGTGTGCCACCATGCCTAGCATTCTAGGTTGGGGCAGGGAGAGCCTTCTCCCATTAAGTGCTAAAGGGATTCTTTGACCTAATAATAATAGAGGAAAGAGAAAGGAGAACGAGCTTGTCAGTCGTGGTGCTTACCAGTGCCCTGAGCGGCTTCAGATACTGATGCAGAACCAAGGTGCCTTGGAATTCATATCTTTCCCAGCTCTGTAGTCCTGGTCATGAAGGTGTCCTTCCAACCCAAAGAAATTCCGTCTCAAAAACACAGAAACAGGGCTGGAGAGATGGCTCAGGTGTTAAGAGTGCTGGTTGCTCTTCCAGAGGACCCAGGTTCAATTCCCAGCAACCACATGGCAGTTCACAACCACCTGTAACTCCAGTTCCAGAGGACCTGACACCCTCACACCAATGTACATTAGACAGACAGACAGACAAAGACAGACACTTAAAAGGCTATTATGTGCTACTGGTTACCCTCCACAACCAGAAGGCAAGACCTGATTGCTGAAGAATTGCATCACTGAAAAGGAAGAAACAGCCAGGCAGTAGCAGCGCACACCTGTAATCCCAGCGCTTGGGAGGCAGAGACAGGCGGATCTCAGTGAGTTCAAGGCCAGCCTGGACTACAAAGTAAGTTCCAGGACAGCCAGGGCTGTCTGTTACACGAAGAAACCCTGTCTTGAAAAACAAAAAGAAAAGCAGAAATTGAGCTGGCACCTGACTAGAGGCTTTGCCACCATTGGGAGGTGCTATAAATGCTACCAGAGGAGAAAAGCAATTATCAATCTCACTCAGCTATAAACCCTGCCATGTACAGCAGTAGCCTGCCTGCAAGATATACTAGTGCAGTCGTACACAAATTTATAGGGGTAACCAACAACTTTTTGGTTGGATTTAAGGTCCATTCCCTGACCTATAATTCACACCTGATACTGTTAATGTCCCCAAGAACTGGAAACTAGACAGGTCATGGGAACTAGGGGCAAACCTATTATTCTGCTAAATGAACACAGCAATAAAATGACTCCTAATGACACACTGCTATACCCTTAGGTCAATGCATCCCTTAACCTTCATCAGAGTAGCTTCTTTCAGTAGATGCTAATTAACATAGGGCCCATAACTAGACAATGTGGAGGCAGTGACGCACTCAGCCCCAACGGGGATCTTTATTAAACCTCTCCCCTCAAGCATCAGGCATCTATGGTGAAAAGTAAGCAGAAAAGCTATAAGAGACAGTGCTGGCAGATGCCTCTAAGGCAACAGCATCTTGCAGACACCACAGGGCTGGTGCACAAACTGTGACAGCATGGACAAGTCCTGTCAATTCAAGACAGACAAAATCCCAGCACAGAGAAGTGGGCACAAAGCCCCACCCCCAATCAAGACGCTACCTGCAATTTTATGCCTGCTGGGAGAGGGAAAATGAGTTTTCTGCAAAGGAGTGACACTGGATATATAAACCATACTCAGGACAAGCCCCATGTCCTTTCTGTGTTCTGTCTCATTTTTCTCATGCATGCTGGAAAAGTCTTGAAGGATTTGTTGAAAATGTGTTGCTTCTTTCCTTTAGCTTTGTTCTGTATAATTGCCCACTAACTATTTGTATAGTTAGAAGGCACTTGAGCAGTGTGGTTTCTCTAACTCTGTGTGTAATGGAGAGTGCATAAAACACAAAGTATTTTATTGTGCACAGTACCCATTTTGATAGAGAAAATCAGTATTTACAACCAGTCGTTTTAACTGTTTATGTCTACTTAATGGAATCCTAGCTAAATATGTAAGAATTTCTGGGATGACTCTAACTATCCAATGAATAGATAGGACGTATTCCATTCATAGGAAAATGCAAATAAAAAATTCAGAGTAAAATACCATTGTTCAATTACCAACTGCTCTGAGTTTTAATATCTGCTTTTGGTGACAGCATGGAGAAGAAATGATTCTGTCCCATACTTTTAATGGTAATAGATATTTAAAAAAATTTTTTTTTTTTGGTAACAGAAGTTTAAGTAGCAATTTTGGAGATCTCAGGTTTTGATATGGTATCCACTTTAAAATGTTATTTACGGTTCTCATGTGGTGTTTTCTTCTTGTTCTGTGGATCTTGGGGAATGAATTCAAGTCGCCAGGCTTCTGTGGCAAGCACTTGTACCCTCTGAGTTAATCTTGCTTACTGATCCCCGTTTTTGAATATTCGTCTCTTTGTGTAGCTATGAGCACGTGTATTCATGCTGGGCATGGTGGCGCATGTCTTTAATCCCAACACTTGGCGGGCAGAGACAGACCGATCTCTGTGAGTCTAAGGCCAGCCTAGTTTCATGATAGGCTCTAGGTCAGCCAAGGCTACATGGTGAATTCCATCTCAAAGAAATAAATAACGAAAACAAACTAACAAAACAAAGAATATTCACTGAATTGTTAACTTAAAGGAGAAATTGAAAAATGTTCCACAAGTTCATCCATAGCAGGAAGGGCAAACAAATTATTATTATATGTCTTTAGTAGAGAAAATTGTGGTATTATCAAAAAGTAAAAACAGAGGCAGGTCTTCGTGGACAATGAAAGAAAGCTGTCTTTGTGTTACACATGGGGAAAAGGTGTGTGGCGGTATTGTATTCTGCCTATTTCATTTACACAAACCTGTAAACGATTTGCTGTGATACATGGAAACATTTTTGATATTTAATATTCTCCCTCCTTTCTTAAAAACACAGCTTTTAGAGATTAACTGGACAGGACTGACTAATCTCCTGGACATCCCTGGACTGAAGTAAGTCTTGTGGGTCTGGCTGCAGTGGCTTTTTCCTTGCTTTTATTCTCGAGAGAGTGGGTCAGAATGGAACCTGCAGAATGCATTGTTCTTCTCTATTCGGTAGCAGTTTAGTGAGTAATAAACGAGGAAACTGTCCTGTGACAGGCACCTGAGTCATGGACTGGACACTCCCCCATGGGAGGGTTAGATGACTCACTGTCCATCTGTCTGAAATGGTAGATTGGGACAGAGTGCCGTTTGTCCTTCAAAACTTCCTTTTTGCTGTTTTTATTGTTTTGTTTGGAGGTTGAAACGCATGACTTACTAATGTTATTAGTTACATTTGTTCCTAGTAAGTATTTTGCTGATCTATGGATTTTTATCCTTAAATAGCTTACAAATTCAATTCCAAAACTTTAATTTCAGACTATTTTTTCTATTTCTATCTACTTGTTTATGCCTCTGAAATGAGTGCTGAAACGAAGTTTTGTTATCAGTAGAAAACAGCAGTTTTAGTAATCTGAGACATCGTCACAGATAAAATGTACTGTGGTTTACCAGGTTAAGAAAAGGAAAAGTTCTATTGTCTTTAAAAGATCTGTGGATAAGAAAGTGCAAGTTTAAAAGGTTTATTGACAAGTTCAGTAGAATCTTGATTACAAACAAAATACTGAATAAAATTGACAAATTGGTAATTTTTTTTCTCTTTTTGCAGTGCTGGGGATTAAACTCGGGTATTTGCTAAACTATATTATACCTCTGAGCTACACACCCAGCTCCCCAAGTCATACTTGTTAAAATAATAATAATTCAGTGTGGAAGTAACACCTTTAAAATTGAAAAAATAAAATAAAATTGAGTACTGGCTGTCACTCAGACATGACTATTCCACGCCTGCTGTCAGCCGACCACTGTTTTTAGCACTTGGTCATAGATAGGAATAGCATTCTCACAGGTATCTCAGAGAGCTTAACCTGGGCTACCCGCCTTTGCAGCTCACAGAGCATTGTGGGATGTCAGGCTCAGGCAGGGGTTGTGCCAAATCCTGTGGGCTGTTCATATAATGTTCAAGTGAATCATTGAGCCTGTCTTCAGGCAGATTCTTGCTGTGTGCAGCAGCTGTGAGGCAGCCTTCCCTGCTAATTCTAAAAGAAACTCCAGGGTTACCTTATATGTCTGTCTGTCTTGGACAGATAGGTTCCTGTGATTTTAACAGCCAGGTTTGAGTTTCATATATGACCTACAAAGAAACCAAGAAATGTTCATTTACTTGGACACACACACCCATGAATGACATAGATGTATCCCACATAAAGGAGATGGCGGTGCTTGCTGCATCTTGTTAGCCAGATATAAGCAACAGGTATCTATGAAGGTTAGTGTCTTTCTTCAGCATCGTAGGGGGACTGAAATAAGAAGGCTAGCTGACTGTCTCTGTTCTGTAATGGCACAGTATGAGCTCTGTGGATGGCAGTGTGACCCGGAAGGGTTTGTTCTGCCCCTCAGCTAGTCTGAAACCATTTTATTCCCCAAGGGTCTATGCACAATCACAGTCGACAATCAGGCAAATGTGCACATTTCATTTGCACACACGACCAGTCTCATGTTACTCAGTTATAATGTTAAGCAGATTCTTTACAGTAATATCTCCCATTGATGTGTAAATCTTACATGGAAATATAAACTATGTTGTAGTATATATATGTAGAAAATTATTTCACTAAAATACATATTAAAGGGCTTGGGAAAACAGTTGAGTTGTGCTGTATTCAAGGACCTTAGTTTGATCCCTGGCACCTATATAAAAAGCCAGGTGTGGTTTCCTGTACCTATAACCCTAGCCCAGAGATATGATGCAGCCCGATCACTGGAGCTCACTAGCCATCTACCGTAGCCTAAAACTCCAAACCCTAGGTCGCACTGATTGGCTTTACCTTAGAAAACAAGATGGAAGGCATCTGAAGAACACCGCCAAATGTTGACTTCATGAAGGTACACACACACACACACACACACACACACACACACACACACACACACACACGCACAAGCTTAAATATGTGACACACAGAGACGAGTACGCATTCATTGTTAAAAGTAGGCTACCTATGGAATAGTAGCAATGTATAGGAATATCCTTCTAACATAATATCTAAATCTAACATTTAGATATACTATATATAATTTGTGTGTAATTATATACATTTGTATAAAATATAGATATAATAGAAATTTTATATAATAAAATGTAAAACTGGGGGCTGCTGGTCTTCACACACAGATTTTCTGTTAAGCCCTGATAGATAGAAGAGTGCACACCTGTCAGGAACCCCAGTGTGTGGGAGGGAAAGGAGGAAGATCAAAAGCTCGGTGCAACCCTTGGCTACACAGCAAGTTGGCCAGCACTATGTGAGAGCCCTGTCTTTACTTAAGAAGATTCTCTGTTGCATACATCAAGTATACATAAGCCTTACATTAAAAATATTTTTTAAAAAAAGATAGTAACTGAGCCTGATATAATGAACTCTTATCCAGGCTTTGTAAGACAAGCGTATATGTTGTATTCGTGGGCTACAAAAAGAATCGGGAGTCATTATAAAGGAGGAATAATGTCTGGGTCAGTTCACTATGCAAACTGTTTTTGTTGTCATGCTGTAAAATCCCTGTGAGGTTTCAGTGGAGCTCATGCTACATAGAGAATGTGGAAGAGGGCAAGGGTCAGGGCTTCGTCAGTGCTGAAAGGCAGACTTGGGAACCAGTGTCTGCAGGAGAAGGTGTGGGTGGTCCGTGGATGCTAGGCAGGGTATAGGCTGCTGGTGAGCCAACAACTGTCTCCTAGGGACAGTGCTGCCAGCTGAAGGCAAGCGTTACGCTGTCCCAGCAGTGAGGGGTGACATTCTTCAGACACCTCAGTTAGGAAGGGTCTCTGTTTCAGCAGGTATTTCAGTATAAACAGAACTATGACTTTGACAGGAATCGCTGAAGGTAAGGAGTTGGTGCTAAAGCTGTGTAAGAATCTCTGCCTCCTTACAGAAGAGCAGGTGCACAGTACCTGCCAGCTCAAGCATTTCACATCTCTTCAGGACTCCTAATGGCAAGGTGTGATTGAGTCCTTTCCTCACAGTAAAATGAAAGACTGGTAAAGAGAGGTCCAAATCTCATTATCATATGTGGATCACTTTTGCTTGAGTGACTGTGATGACAGAGGACATGTTTGCATGTGTAATTGCATACGTACACTAGTGACTTAACACCAGAAAGTGCTGGCAGGAATCAGGGTTCTTTTTAGAACTCGGAGTTCTAGTAACAATTTTTAGAATAGGAAGTGTGCACGGATATATCTCCAAAAGTACTGTCGTATATATTTTTTCAACTCTCAGATCTGCCTTGGAAAACAATCTAAAAAAGATACAAAGTGCTTCCCTGTAGTCTTTTATTCACATGACTAAGTTTGCTATATAGTGGTGTAAAACTATATCAAAATTATTAAAGTATTCAGAATGAAGAAAATTAGAAGCAATATCCAACACTAAAGAGAAACAATGTATGCATAAACATGAAATGGGTTTGTGAATGTTTGCCGTGTTATTTTCTATACTTTTATTTATGTTTGAAATGTTTACGTTAAAAAAGTTAAGAAATGTATATTAACTGTATGATTAAGCCATATAGGAATATTTGAAGGTTGTTCAGGGAATTATCAAATGGAGCCAGAATTTTATGTTGTATTACAAAAATAAATTATACCTGATAGTTAACAATAGCAATGTAGCTCAAAGCGTTAGAGCTTTACCTCTAAGTAGTCTTGGGGAAAGTCAGGGAGCCCCACCCCATACACGGCTATGGGATCGGGGCTGTGCATGTTCCTTGTTAGAGGTGACAGCAAGCGTGTGTGTGTGTGTGTGTGTGTGTGTGTGTGTGTGTGTGTGGGTGTGTGTGTGTGTGTGCGCGTGCGCGCGTGTGTATCTGATACATGTTCATATCTGATTGTTCTTTATCTCTCCACAAACAGTGGCTTATCTGACACTATCATCTTGGATATAATATCAAACTATCTGGTGCTTCCTAATCGCATCACTGTCCCTCTTGTCAGTGAAGTTCAAATAGCACAGTTGCGGTTTCCCATACCAAAGGTAAGCGTGCATTTAAATACATAGTATTTAAAATACAGGGTGTTTTTGTTGATTTGATTTGGTTTGGTTTGGTTTGAGACAGGGTTTCTCTGTGTAGCCCTGGCTATCTGGAACCAGCTCTGTAGACCAGGCTGGCCTCGAACTCACAGAGATCCTCCTGCCTCTGCCTCCGCCTCCGCCTCCGCCTCCCAAGTGCTAGGATTGAAGGTGTGCACCACCACTGCCCGTCCTAACCACAGGGTGTTCCTTGTCTTTCCTTGCTACGTAATGTTAATACTTTGGTAGCTCCACTCCCTCGGAGATGGACTAGGGCGCCTCTGACTCTAAGACTTGAGGAGTTCTTAGACTTTTCAGGGTCCTGCAAATGTAATCACCAGCTGTAAGGACAGCAGTGGGCAGCAGGCTGTTTTTGTGGAGACACAGTCATTTTCAGCAACAAGTGAGACAAGGCTTCTGATACAACAAAGGTTCTGATGTGGTGACATAAGTTTTTCTCAGACATTGGAATGTGAGTCTTTCTGCAGTTTCTTAATGGATAGGGTGACTGTCAGGGAGGTTGGTCTTGCTGTGCAGAGAATCTTATAAAGGAGAACATTTCTCTAGGGTTGACTTAGAGCTCAGAGGTTAGTCCATTATCAGCACAGCAGGGAGCTTGGAGGCACACAGGCAGACATGGTGTTGGAAAAGGAGCTGAGAGTTCTGCATCTGGATCTGCAGGCAGCAGAACCACTGGGGCTGGATTGGGCTTCTGAAACCTTAAAGCCCACCCCTAGTGACACACTTCCTCAACAAGGCCACTCGCTAAACATTTAAATATATGAACCTTTGGGGACCATTGTTAGTCAAACCATCACAGTAACAGAAGAGGCACTTGTGTAACAGCTGCACTGAACTAAAAGGAAGAAGCGCTGAGTGTTGGTGGCGCATGCCTTTAATCCCAGCACTCAGGAGGCAAGTGGATCTCTGTGAGTTCAAGGCCAACCTGGTTGGTCTACAGAGTGAGTTCCAGGACAGGCTCCAAAGCAATACAGAGAAACCCTGTCTTGAACCCCCTCTCTAAAAAGCAAACAAACAAAAAACAAACAGGAAGAAGCAGAATTCTTGAACTTGGAGGTATTTATGGCTGGGCCTGAGTTTCAGCTTCTGTAAAATGTGGAGCCTAGAACTGGGTCATATGTCTATGGAGTCACCTTAAGCAATCAGAACCACTGTAGACAAAGGCCAGGCCTTAGAGATGCAGGTCTAACTGTCAGCCATTTGTTGTGGCTCCACAGAGGTCAAGGAAACAGTAGTGCCATGGATTGTGTACAACAAGGATCCAGTCTACCTATGCATCTATACTAGAATGTGTGCATTCCACATGCATTCTACTTTCACTAAGACAGGAGGACGTAAGGTGGCACTACTTTAATGGCATGTTTTCAGTTTTATTTGCTGAAGTGGAAATAGCATTGCCTTGATCCCCTTTTTCTCACTTAGATACAAAAATCAGCAAACGTGCATGAACACACTTACACACATATAGACACACACTGCATATATATCAGTCCTTCTTTAGCTGCCTTTGATGCTGAGGCTTAAGCCCAGGCCTGACCTGTGTCCTCAGCCCCCTTATATGTGTGTAAAAAAGCACTCTCCATTTAATTTGATGATAGAATCGTATTGTTCACATTCAACAGATTTGAGACTCTGCACATAAGAAAAGGAGCTCTTTCTCCTAGATGCAGGCATCTTTTGCCACATCGCCTCAGCTGTAGCCACAGGAAACTGAAGACAAGAGTCTTCCAGGGCTTCCTAAAGTGTATTCGTCTTTAGAGAAGTTTAGAGAAGTTTGTGTTGTCCTGACAAGATGGGAATAGTAGCCTGGGATTTTTGTGGCATTTGGAGGAAGAGTATTATTACCCTACCAAACTTTTGTTTGCCATGAATGAAAGGACTAAGTATTATTCTCCCACAAGTAAGACAGCTGTTGAGAAGACCTTTTTCTTTTTGATGAGCACTACATATTTCAGAGTTTGGGTTTCCTCTATAAAATGGACTTAATGACAGGGTTTCATAGAATTGGTCTAAAAATTGAATGGCATGGTTGCTGAGTAAGAAGTGCTTAGTAGCAGCTCTGATGTACCCTACGTGTTAGTTATTACCTGCTTAGTCCCAGAATGTAAGGAGTTTTGGTGACTCTTGTGACTGTGTTACTGGCTTCCTGGGAATAAGTGCTTTGCTGCCCTGGGACCTCTGCAGTCAGGGTTCCCTCTACCAAGGACGCTGAAGGCTCTGCAGGCAGCTGTGTAGCGTCCCCGCCCATCTGCAGTCTGGCTGTCTAGTGGGATGACACAGTGTCCACCCTCAATATTTGTTCTCTGAGGTCCTGTCATGGCTGAGCTGTGACGGTCTCTGTTGGGGAATGCGCTGTGTGTCTTCCACTCTCCACAGCAAACCGTGTAAGTGGTTTGCGGCTCTTCTCAGGGTGTGCTACGGATCCATTTCATCGAAGCTCAGGATCTTCAGGGGAAAGACACCTACCTTAAAGGCCTTGTCAAGGGAAAGTCAGACCCCTACGGAATCATCCGGGTGGGCAACCAGATCTTCCAGAGTAAGATTATCAAGGAGAACCTGAGTCCAAAATGGAACGAGGTGTATGAGGTGAGCAATGGGGCCCAAACATGGCAGCTGAGTGAGGGCACTAAAAGTCTGATTCCACGTCTGTCACACAAGAGCATGGCTAACTTGGACCATTGTTTAAGTTTTTTAATGTTTCATCTTGGGGAGATTTTGCATTTCTCTTCTAACACAAACATTCTTGTAATGTGAACATGTGAGATTTTTAAGCAGTAGTTATATAAGGCTACCACAGTGGTTAATGGCAATTTATTTTCTTAATATAGAAAAGTTCCTGATTATAAAATATTACATGTGGTGAAAGCACAAATATAAAAATACACTGTTTTATGCATTTTTCATCTAATACATCTGGCCATCATCTTTACATCTCAGTGGGTAGATAACGGCATGGTTATTGGCTTTGTTTTTGTTGTATTTGTTTCCTTTTGCTTTGTTTTATTTCTCTCTCTCTGTTTTATTTCCTGGCCTGCAATTTGTGCTCCTCCTGCTTGAGCCTCCCACGGGCTCTGGTTGCAGGTGTACACCACCACACCCAGCCAGGGTCTGCCTGGTTGTCACTGAATTCTTTACCTGCAGAGACCCCGCCCGCCCTGGGCACCAAGTGCAGCATTGTGGCTGTGCTCGTCAAGTGCAGGGTCACATGTAGCCTTAAATTGTTCCACCCAGAAGTGGAGGGGTTTTTGTTTTTGTTTTTGTTTTAAGTTTATTTTTTTGTACCTTGGTATTTTGCCTGTACGTATGTCTGTGAGGGTGTCCGATCCTCTGGAGTTGGAGTTACTGACAGTTGTGAGCTGCCATGTGGGTGCTGGGAATTGAACTCAGGATCTCTGGAAGAGCAGTCAGTGCTCTTAACTACTGAACCATCCCGCCAGCCCCAAGAATTGGAGGTTGTTTTAAAGGACAGAGAAGTTCTTGAGAACAGCAGTCACTATGCCTCCTCCCTGTCACCCTCTGCCCTCTGTCCGTGTTTCAGGGTTAGCATCTGCATGGAGCCACTTCACATCTTAGGGCTACTTCCTGCATCTTCAAGTGGCCTTAGGCCTTCGACAGGCCTGTGGGTGACCTCACACAGCCACCTTGTTTCAGGGTCTTGTGCTTGGCCCACTGATAATGGAATTCAGATAGCCAAGAAACATGCCCAGCAGACTTGCTCTCTGGGCAAGTTTTTGAGAATGGCCCAGTCATCAAGATGTATGTGTGGTCTGACAGTAAGAAAGTCCACCTTTGAAACTGCTGACTGCCAGAGAAAAGTACCTGGTAATGTTTGTTACAATCCCCATACTTAGTTTAACTTGACTGTGGTGGTAGACCTGCAGTAACTCCTAACCGTTCATTTTCAGGCTTTGGTCTATGAGCACCCTGGACAAGAACTGGAGATTGAACTCTTTGATGAAGATCCAGACAAGGATGACTTCTTAGGAAGGTGAAGAAAGAACTTAGGAACACCCTTTTAACCACTCTCGCTGATGCAGGCCTTTAAAATCATTTATTTTCATGTATACATTTTAAATGGCTTTTATGTGTGACATTTATTTTACCAGATAGTTTAAAAAATGTTTTACTTCTAAAAAGACTCTGCTGTCCATAATAGTGGCAATAGCACTAGGGCCAGTTTCACCGCCAGTTACACCATGGAAGCTACAGGGCACTGTGCAGAGTCACCTTCTTGGGGGGGAAACACTTAGAAACACTTCTAAGCTGTAGGTGGAGGTTTAATTTTAAGCTTTTTCAGTTCTCTAGGGTATAGTCATTTACAATCTACCCACATATTGGGACAGTAAATACTGATTTATTTACTTCATTTGAAGAATTAACATAGCTGTGAAAAATGGGCTTTAAAATACATTTCTGAGGCCGAGAGGGGACTTAGCAGTTAAGCATGCTTGCTGCTCTTCTAGACAACCCAAGCTCAGTTTTCAGCACCCAGTGTCAGATGGCTGATGGCTGCCTGAAACTCCAGCTCCAAGGGCCTTGGTACTTACAATCCTAGCACTGGGACTTATTAGGGCTAGCCTGAAATTACTTGATGAGTTCCATTCCAGGTTAGTGAGACACCTGGTCACCAGCAAATAATTCCATTTTGGAAAAATAAATGAGTTTGGTCCCTGGCCTCCACACCTGTGCCTTTGCTCCTGCACACACACACACATCTAATGCATGTCCATCTAATTAAGTCATTTCAGTGAGTTTATTGTAGGGAATGGCAGAGGACTACACTGGAAACGCTCAGGCCTCATCAAGAATAGCCTTGTGCACCATGCTCTGACTTCAGAATCTCTCAGACCCATGTGTTGTGCTGTAACTTCAGAATCTTTGACTGTGTACACAGCTTAAGTGGAACAGAAACATGGTCAGATCAAATATGCAATGTAAGCGTAAGCGTGTAGATGGAGGCCAGTAGAGGAGTGGAGAGCATGTTGTCACTGGCGAGGGCTGAGAGTGGATTGATGAGGAGATATATTTAGAAGTGAAGGAGAACAGTCCCTTCTAGCATGTGCCTGTGGAAGTTGTGCCATGGTTGAATTAGAGTAGGATTGTTTGGCGGTTAATAGAACCTGCTCTCGGAGCTGCTAATGGACTTGATACAGTGTGGACTTAAAATTCATTATGGAAATAACCGTGTCATCCACAGTGATGAGTAGTAGCACCAAGGGATGACATGTAAAAACCCATTAGTTAGCCAGGCATGGTGGTGCACACCATTAATCACAGTACTTGGGAAGCAAAGGCAGGCAGATGTCTATGAGTTCGGAGCCAGCCTGGTCTACATAGTGAGACCCCTGTCTTGAAACCATAAAAACTCAGCTGTGGACCTGGAGAGATGGCTCAGCAGTTAAGAGCAGCGACTGCTCTTCCAGAGGTCCTGAGTTCAATTCCCAGCAACCACGTGGTGGCTCACAACTATCTGTCATGAGATCTGGTGCCCTCTTTTGGTGTGCAGGCAAATATGCAGACAGAACACTGTATATGTAATAAAAATGAGTAAATAAAATTTTTAAAAAATGTAAAAACAACAACAACAACTCAGCTGTGGCTGGGGAGTTCAGTGCAGAGCACTTGCTGTGTAAGCGTGACAATCAGAGTTCAGACCCAGAACCCACAAAAATGCCAGAAGAGCACGGGAGCTGTCTGTAATTCTAGCACTTGGAAGACAGACTGCGCATGCCCAGAACAAACTAGTGAGACTAGTCACACCAGGCTCTGAGTTCGGTTTAGAGATGTTTTCTTGACACAGTAGCTGAGGAGTAACTGAGGAAGACGCCTGCTGTTAGCCTCAGGCCTACAGATGTTCACATGTGTGCATGTGTGCGTGCACATGCCCACGCTACACACATACAAACACACACGTCCATAGTCAGTTCTGGCCTAGTTGTGTGTGCTCTGTATTTTGACCACAGAAATTCAACCCTTCCCTTTCTTGCCCTTCTTTAGGTTTTCTTGACCTTGTATTACAGAAAACCTGGGGAAGCAGTTTGTCTCTGGTAAACTGTGTGGCGTCTTTTGCATTTCTAGAGTTCTTCCGCATAGACAATGCTCGAGTTATTTCAGTTGGAAGAAGTATGTTTCTGTGTTCTAAAATCTTTTTTGTTGTTTTATCCTTACAGTCTTATGATTGATCTTATTGAAGTTGAGAAGGAGCGCCTTTTAGATGAAGTAAGTGTTCTCTGATTTTGGCCCACTTAATGAACACTGTAAGCACCCTTGTGTGCCAGGGCCACTGTGACCCACTGCTGTTACCCACCTACAGTGCAAGGGTCCACAGACATGTGACATGTAAAGGCCAGCCCTGGCCCTTGGAGCATAAATTTCAGTGCCAGTTAAGGACTGTCGGTGCCATGGTGTCAGTGAGAACCCTGAAACTTTTTTTTAGACTGGGTTTAATTAGAACTTTTTATTCAGGAACACTTTTGCTGACCTTAAACATTTTCTCTTCAGTGGTTCACTCTGGACGAGGTGCCCAAAGGAAAGCTGCATCTGAAGTTAGAGTGGCTCACGCTGATGCCAGACGCGGCAAACTTGGACAAGGTGCTGTGCAGTGCCTTCTCTTCCTGGCCACCCACCCCTGGTTGTTACGCCCAGTCTGTCTCTGATCGTGTCGTTGCTTGCTTAAAGAAGTTACGCCAGTAAATTTGGACATCATCCCACAGGTCACCACAGTAGTGAGCAGGAATAAAGGTGTAAAGAGCACAATTTATAGTTTATTATTCCTGTTCTGAGACTCTTAAATCCTGTATTTGCCATAGCACAGAGGTCATCCCAGAGCTTCAAGGTATTGATGTGTGCAGAATAATCATCCTGTCATTTGGAAGACATCAGTTGTTCTTCTGCTGTGTCCATTAGAGTGTTTCCTACTTTCGTCCTCTTGCGCACACTCAAGAACAGTGTGCACACCATCCTGTGGACACACACCCACCGCTGTTCTTCCTACCTTGCAGGTGCTGGCAGACATCAGAGCTGATAAAGATCAAGCTATTGATGGTCTTTCATCCGCACTGCTCATCTTGTATTTGGATTCTGCAAGGAACCTTCCGGTAGGTAGTACAGAGCTAACTCGTGGGAGTGCTTGCCTGACTTGGAAACTACTACTTTGTTCAGCTACAGTGTATCAGCTAATCTTGTGTGGCAGCAGCAGAGAGGCACAGGTAGCATTTGCTTTTGCTCGTGGGTATTTATATCTAATTATTGTAGACTTCTTGCCTCACTGTGAAAATTGTCTCTCTTGGAAAGGGGAATAAATGAAGCAGCTCTGATCACAAACCCTAAGTGTGTCTTAGCCGAAACACAGCAGCCATGGGCTGCTGAGCTGTGACTTTCCTTAGGGTGTCAGGTGAGGCGTGATCGACGCCACCAGGTAGGTATGCTGACCTTCAGGCACCTGGGACACTTCCAGCTGAACACAAACAGTGCCAAATCGTAATGTTTAGCCTAAAAGCCTGTTGATTTGTTTGCATGAGATGGTTTTGGTTTTATGGGGGGAAGGTATAAAGTATAACCCAATCATTTAGGGATAGTGAGTCTTCCACTGTCCTGTTGTAAACTCCACTAGTTAAAGTAATGTTGTCCTCAGATAAATGTTACATTGTTGGGTAACTTTGGGGGTTGCCAGTGTGCTTGCACACTAGGGCATTCTCTATGTCATTTGTTGAAAGAAAGATCTCTGCCATCAGTTACAGGGGTTTTACCCACCAAGATTGTCCATTGCATAATTCCCCCTTCCCCGTGACTGCTCAGCCACATCAGTGCATTTGTGAACACACTCCAAGCAGAAGCAAGGGCACACCACCATTCCCTTTCCCACAGTCTCTCTGGGACTTTTAGCCTGATGACTTGTGAAATTGTATCATTTAGCACCTTTTAGTTTTTGAAAAGTGAATATTTACTTGAGCTTTGTGATCAAAAAATGAAATATGGTGTTCTTTGTGCATTGATACATTTTATTTCAGCTTAACAACTGAAATATGGTTGAGCATTTTGCCAATACCATACCCTTTCTTTTAATGAAAGTTCCTTATCTAATTTTTAACTACTAAAGTTCTTACATTTTTCTTGAAGAGCTTAATCTTTTGGCTAGTCTTTCCACCTAAAGTCTGTGACTTTACCTATTTTTATTTCAATTTGGGAATATCTGCTTCATTATTATCTAGATTTTCAATAGAATTCCTCACACAGTAGGGCTTTCTGCTTTTGACCACAGTGAAGTTTGTTATAGAATGCCTGATAGGCAGTTTGTCAGGCTGGCAAAATGGCTCAGTGTGTAAAAGGCAATTGCTGCCAAACCTGGCCACTTGAGTTCAATTCCCAAAACACACATGGGATACAAGAACTGACTCCTTTGGGTTGTCCTCTGACCTCCACATGCACGCTCTGGCAAGCCCCATACCCCAAATAATGTCAACCATACTTTAAAAGAAGCAAATGTGTTGTATAGCTTAGATATAGAAACATAGTGACGGATTAATGGAAAAAGGGCTTGGGCCTTTCTGTAGAGCTATATGTTTTGTCACGATTTGAAATTCAGATGACGTTACATGAGCTCACGAGACAGGGAATGCATTACTCTTCTATGCCAAGGGTACTTTGCTCACAGTGTGCCATGGCTCATCAGAGGCAAAGGGTCCACAGAGCCAGCCCCGGGTTTGTAGTGTTAATCGGGAGGCTTTGTTGGCCAGTCCCTGTGTGTCCTGGGACCCTTTGACTCTCTGCACCCTGTTTATTTGTGCTTCTGGTGTGTGCCCACTGACCACAACCCACCATTCTTTGCTTTCTCTTCCTGTCTCCACTTTCCTAAGAGTATCTTCGAGGGAAACTTTGGGTGTGGCTACTTAAAAGAGAGGCGAGCGTCGGGACTAGTGTTTTGTGAGAATACTACCTCAGTCTATAGAGCACTATTTGTGAGTCCTCCAGCTCCTTCTTCTGTGTTCAGTGAAGACTGCCCAGGTGTGGCCTGGAGCCTTCGTGCAGTCTGCTCATTGGAATGATGTGCATGCTATTGTCATTTTCTTGCATGACTTCAGCTACCACGTCTTCATTTTGTGTTGGTTTTGTCATATGTGACTCTGCCGTGATGCTGGGAGTACATCTGACATGCGATAAACTAACCTGAACTAACTCTACTGCTGCTGGTCCATAAAGTGTCCCAATGAGTCCTCTGAGGGAAAACAAAGCTGTAAAGTTAAAGCTGACTTTGTGGTTCATCTTGGGAAGAGATACATAAACACTGCTCTGACTTTCATAGAACTTTCCTAAATCTACTTTCTCCCTTCTCACCAAGGATAGCAGCACTAGAACTTGGGCTGTCTTCCAGTCAGTACCACCCTGTCCTCTTCTGTCACTAGGCATGGTCACATGAACTCAGGAGTCCACCCATCTCTGTGAGAGCCTGCTTCTGCCACATGGCCTAGCCAGAGCCTCTGGAGGAGAAGAAAACTACAGCGGATTCACAGTTTATTTCTCTCTAAGAACTTAAAAGAGTTCCCTGAAGTAATAATTGGGAATTTTGTTTTGATCTCCTCACATTTGCTCCCATAGCCTGTCTGGTGCTTGCACTCCTGGTGCTCTCCAGGGTTACTCTGGTGGCTGCTGGGTTCGTTTGCTCTGGGGTCATAGAAAACTACACGTAAGACCTACTAGTCTACTAGTTAGTGTTAGAAATCACCTTTCAGATTTGCACTATGGTTAGTTAGATTTCTAAAGACCACTTAACCTTTGAATCTGCTAGTGACAGGGCTTTGCTTTTGTAGTTTCTAGTTCTGCTTACAAAGGTTTTCCAAGTGTGTCCCCAATTCATTCTTATGACTAAGAAGAAGCTTTGGAGTACCTATCATACTTTAAAATCAATACCCTGAAGGATAGAGAAGTTACAATAGTAAGTAATCAGCACCTTGGTGTCCCTAACTCTGTACTTGTTCCTGCTTACGACCTTTTTTAACAGTCAGAAGAAAGCTGGCTGGAGGGGTATCCCCCTCTAACCCTTTTTTTGTAGAGATTACTGCAGGAACATTTCCTGTTTCAGTATTGTGACCCTGTTTCAAAAGCAGTAGTCAAAGGAAAGCAGTTAGAATGACCATGCCATTGTATGCCATGCTTTATGCCTTTGTTTCTTAGGTAAAATGTCATCACAAACTCGTAAGTGACAAGACCACTCTTCTGGGTAATTCTGTCAGTCTGTCTCCAGTAACTTTTCTAGGTCTCTTTTCTCAATCTACAACTGCTTCCTTTTGCAGAAAAATATTTTTGAATCAGATTCTTGAGTTGCTTTGTAGTTGAGACATCAGTGTCAGACTCAGAATCCTTTGTCTTCGTTGTCCAGATCACATTGAGTGTTGTGGCTGGCACATGCACTCCACATAAAATGTTCTTTGCAGTAGCTATTCACGCTTACTTTTTACTTACTGGTTTCCAGTGTAAAATTAAATCAGCTTTCTCAGTCTTTGCTACAGGAAACCTTTTTTTTTTTTTTTTTTTTTTTATAAATGGCTGCAGTCCATAGCTTTTTTTTACTTCCCACCTATTTAAGCACCTTTAGTTTCCACTCCCATTACTTTCTTCTGTATTGGAAATGATTTCTTTTTAAAGTGGACTCTTAGAATTTTACCCCTCCAGCTTCAGCTTGACTATGTTCTCTGACTTTGGCACCCAGCATTAGAGTATTAGGCTTACTTGGTAACTCGTGTGTGTAGCGCGCTTTGCAGTAGCCACACCGACTGTAAGGTGTCTACTCGTGCCTCATTTATCCCCAGAATTCATAGGCATTTCACAGATTATAAAATAAAGATAACACAAAGGACAAAAGTGACTAAGACAAGAGATCTGAGACCTCATTGCTGTAGAATGTTCACCGCTCAGATTCTTATTCTGTAACTGGAGATGACCGGAGAGGAGTGGTCCTTCCATGGAGTTTGCCTTATATGTATGAACATAGCTATGTAATAGCTACCTCTGAGCAGATGCTTAGGGACAAAGATACTTTTTATAGTAACTTTAGGTGTTGTTTGTTTGAGACAGGGTCTCATATATCCCAGGCTGTCCAGAAACACTTTGTATAGCTGAGGGCAACCACTCTAACTTCTGATCCTCCTGCCTCTTCCAAGTGTATGAGGTGCTGGGCTCTGAACCCAGAACTTCCTGCATGCTAGGCAAACACTGTCGAGTGACCTATCTTCCTAGGGCATGGTTCTTGATTGGGGGGCGGGGGGTGCTGCTGTGGACAGTGATGGAGTGGCCCAGGAGTACAAGGCACAGTGCCCGATTGCTGAACCTCACACCTGGACACCTGCCCCGAGTATTTCAGTGACTAGTGTTCTCACCTGCATGCCACGTAGCTGTCTGTGACCTCACACAGCTGCTCTTGCATCCTGGCTCACTGCCACTGTTCTCTTTGTTTCTCAGCAACTGATGCATGCTAGAGTAAGAAGTGCCCTGGGCTCAGCTATTTGTATGGTGTGCACTTCCAGAAAGGCCCTTGTGACATCGGGAGAGCGAGTAGCACTCAGGCTCCCTGGGAACCAGAATGCACTATTGGGACCCTTAGGGGGGACCCTTGTCTGGACTCCATCCAGAGATGCAGGCAGTAGGTTCTGGGTCTTTGGAGAGCCCCATGGGCTGTTTGAATAGTCTGGGTTTAGACCCATTTAGTGTGACAGGAACCTTCTTGCCTGCCTCCTACCACAGGAGACTGACTGGGGAGCCATTTCCCCGTCTTCCTCTATACGTCTTCTGTTTAATAAAACTATAAGAAAAAAAATTAAGAATCAAATCCAGTATACCATTTTAAATTCATTAAAACTAAAATGAGAAAAACCTTTAACTTCAAATGTTAATCCTGGAAGCTTCCAAAACAAATTGTTCACTTGAGACTGAGCAAACAGCTAGCTGAAGAAATTCAGTCTGGAAGACATATACCCTAAACAGTAGAATGTATTTAGCCTTAAGATGACCTCGTTGGCCTATGCTTCCATACCTGGGAAGCGTGGGGAGTCCAGAGAGTTTGAAGAGAGCTAGGCTCCATCTCTTGATGATGTTGTACCAAGGATGCAGGTCTCAGAAGGCATGGCAGTGGTGTGGCCGCTGTAGGTGGGAGCAGCTGTAGTGTGGGGGAAGGCGTGGTCAGACTGAAACTCTGACTGTGGTGAGATGAGTGTTTCAGCAAAGGACAGTGAGCAGAGCCTTTCCTAAGTCACACTCTTGATTCCTGCAGACATTAATGGTCAGAGGAGAAGTGTGAAGGGTTACCCAAGATGAGGAAACCTGTCATGATAGTTAGATTACCAGTCACTCTAAGGTAAAATCTTGGACATAAAGGCAAATTTGTCAGCTTGTATGATTTTTGGTCTGGTTTAAGTATTCATTTATTCTCATGAATTTGTTGTGTCATTAACCTTACATAAACTCCTCATTGCATGTTTTATTAACCCTTGGTGTATTCATTTTCTTCTGACCTGAAAGAGTAACCCATTACACTTTAACCCTGGTGTCTTGAAGAAGTCTGCAGTTCAGAGAGCTTTGAAGGTAAACAGAGTGTTCCCTCGAGGCCGCAGTGCTCATCAAGACATATTGAAAGAGATGGTACTCTGGCTTTCCTACCTGTGTGGGTGGTTACCTCCCACCCTAGTTAATAATTGGATTGTCCAGTAGAAGAGATCTGACTTTCGTCAGATCCAAGAATTTGTATTTCGAAGAAATTGCATCAACCAAACTTAAATTTAAAAGTTCCAATATGAAGGTTTAGCTTTCATTCTGTCTCTAAAAGCCATTGACATACTGTGTTTTGTTTGAATTTGCGAATGGCAATCTAAAAAGTTTTATTTGAAATCTTGGCCAGAATTTCATATTGTGATTTAAAGATGCACCTTGCAAACTGTCGAGTGCATGCTTAAGGAATTGCCTCTTCCAATATGTTTGAGTAGGGCCTCGCTGAATCAACCTCATGGCTTTGGTGCTGTGGGCTTGGGTGATAGATCTTCCCAGAAGGTTCAAATCTTATCAAATGAGGTATATTGAAAACTAAGCTCCACTTGTCATCCGTGTCAATACCTTGTGTTCTCTGGCTAAATTGTTTTGTTTCTTAATTGATCTTAATTACAGTGAGAGGTAGGGGCACTTTAAATTTAATTGTCCTAAGAAAACTTCAAAGAAATAGGAACTATTTTAATCAGTTTCATCCAGCAAAAGAAGTTAATTGAAAAATGAAGGAGACTGTCAATGACTTGACTTATATCCTGTTAGTAAACCTTACTACATATGACCTGTACTGAGGAGCTGTGGTGTGGTTTTAGTAGGACATCATACCCGGGGAATGCTGGTCATCACATGGCTGAAACAACTATGCCTCCCAGCATAGCTGGGACTGGTAGCAACTCAGGAAAGGACCTGTAGCCGCACTCCTTGCTCACCGTTCTTTTCTGTCTTGCTGGCCAGCTGAGCACAGAGGTCAGGAAGGAAGGCTCTAAAGTCATGTTGGTCATCATTGTGATTCACAGATGATAGTTCATCCATCCTGCTTGCAGAGTGGAAGTAATATCTTCTCCACTGGATTAGTAAGTAAATTAAAATCTTACATATAAAAATTCACAGTAGGTAGGTAAATAGGTGTGCTATAATTACCTGGTTTAACACATTAAGCTCATTAAGCCTAACAACAAGTTCTAAAAATGGTCTTGTGCCTCTTTTATAGACATGGAACCTAAGGCTCAGATTAATGAGACATAGGTCACAGTCATCAAGAGTTAAGGAGAATGACGTTTAAATTCAACGGTGTGACCTAAAAGACTATGCTTTTTATTATAGTTTGTACATTTGATATATGGTGCTATAATTTAAAAGTCTGTCATGGTAGAAAACTTAATGAATGGTTTAAAAACCTCATAACCTAAAGCATCATCTATGCTAAGGCACACCCTTATTCTATAAACTACTAAAAAAGATTATAAAAGTGCCAAGCTTTGAATTATTTTATATTTACTGAAATTTTAGACTTAGAATAAATAGGTTTTAGTGTGTCATTCACATACATGCATAAATGCACAAATTGTTTAAGGCAGTGAAAATTGTTTAGAAGCAGATTTATAGTATTATCAGTTATAAACTTCATTCTATGTTTAAAATATTAGAAAGAAGGGCACCTTAAAATTTTAGGTGCATTAAATCCTTAAGACTGAATGGTCCCGTTTTCAAAGATACAGTCTTAATATTACTTAGAAATAAACTCAACTTCTTAACAGAGACCCAAGGCAGATGTGGCTTACATCAGTGTGATTTCATGGCTACACCCGAAGCTCGGCCCTCATAGATAAGAGTGGGCAAGGCACGCCCTCCTTGGAAGTCAGAGTTTCTTAGCTAGCCAGAAGGGAGAGGTGGAGGGGGCAGCCTTCTCTGCAGAGGACTTATGCTCAGCTCAGATTTAGGAATCCTAATGGCAAAGAAAGGAAATGACTTCAGGGAAAATCAGTTGGCTTTGATAAATTCTTAACGGTATTTATTTCATTTTGCAGAGTTCATTCACATCAGAAAGATGAACCAGAAAATAGATTATCACAGTAGGTTTGGGTTAGTCATGATGTCTGAATAATCAAATGATTTTGACACCTATTTCTGTCATTGCTGTAGTGTTGAGGATTGACTCTAAAATTATTTAACTAAAATACTTTTTTGTGACCCTCTAATTAATTTACATTAACACATTTAATGCATCTTTTTGTGGGGCTGAGTTATAAATAAACCTCATGTCACATATCTGTTGTGTTTTACTATGTTTTCTTCTATTAGCTGTCTGCTCAAGTATGCTTCTTGTCATTTTTCTTGCTTATGAATTATTCAAATCATATTTGTATCTGCTTAATTCCATGCCATTCTAAACTGACACTTATTCTCCTGGTGATAAGTACTTTGCAGCCGGTAAGCAATATCCATGTCTGGTGACTGTGTTTACTTTGAGCCAGAGGATGGTGGCAGGCTCAAGGTGTGCAGCTGTGCAGCTGGACTGATGCTTTATACTCTGGCAGGAGAGAGTTCTGAGGCAGCACTCTGATACTTGTCTCCCTTCTGTATCTATTCATATTCTTACACTTACTACATTTTTGTTATCCTAGTAAGTCAGTTTTGATCACTGTAGTTAATAATAAAACTTTTAAGTTTTAAAATATTTCCCAAAGTGGCTTACTTTAACATAAAAAGTTGAAGATTTCAAACTTGTGTGCAACCTGGCACAGAGATTTGTACTATAGTCACAGCTGCTGTGGAGCCTTAGGCGGGAGGACCACTCATGCCACAGAGTTCCATACTAGACAAGCAGTTTGGCCAGACCCCCTGTCTCTCAAAACAAAGTGTATGGATGGAAGTTTTCTCATTCTGTTTCATGGTGGACGTAATGAGTAATGGTGGCTCAGCATTTGCTTAGCAGTTGTTTTCTACTTTAATTGTTCTTCGATGTTCCCTGTGTCTAAAGTATCAGTGGTAAAATAGAAATGACTCCTGGTATCAACTGTAATTTTATTTTTAGCAGGACCCATTTCAAAACGTGTTTATTTATTTTGTCTGGTTTTGTTTTGGGATAGTCAGGGAAGAAAATGAACAGCAACCCAAACCCTCTTGTCCAGATGTCAGTCGGCCACAAGGCTCAAGAGAGTAAGGTAAGAGTTTGACCATTTCTGAGACTCTCTCCACATAGCCACGCTTGCCACTATCCCAGCAGGTGGTATCCAGGTGTGTGGTGTGTGGGCAACGAGACCATTGCTTCCATATGAAACAGATGTTTCATAACTACTAGCTGCTTAAGTTATTAACAAATACATTGTTTATTTTTAAATAACGTAAAAAACCCTACAGATATGCTTTTGTTTGATTTCATAAGGAGAGATACGGTATTATTCCCAAGTTTCTTTTAAGTACTTAATAACTATTTAGTTTAAAGTTAACATGTTTTACTTCAGATTTAGCCAACACAGACTCCCGAATTCAAGGAAGGTATTATTGTATGTTCTTCTTTTCTGATCAGGAAATAAAAATTAGAAATTACTCACAGTCATAGGCCATTGTTAAATTTTAATTGTTAACCCTTTAAGAAATGGGGCTATGTGCAGTTCAGTGCCAGGCACCAAGAATGAGAGAGCTGAGGACAGTAGAGCAGAAGAGGTTTTAGTCTCTGGGCAAGGAGGTGTGGGACTCTCTGTCAACTCCTTTCCCCAGTGCACAGCAGAAAGCTTATGTTTCATTTCTTGAACATTTCCATGCTTACTAAGAACGTCACTCAGTAATCGATTTAACCACCCTGTGCTTGTATACGCATTAAACAAGCACACATTGAGTCAGGAGTCCTCCATAGGAAATACTGGAGAACTGATACTGGACTATTTATTTCTTACAGATTCGATACAAAACTAGTGAGCCAGTGTGGGAGGAAAACTTCACTTTCTTCATTCACAACCCCAAGCGCCAGGACCTGGAAGTTGAGGTAAATACCATGCATTTCATGTCTATATTTTGAAATACGATTGATACAAATTGCTATCAGGAAAGGGTCATGATTCTTAATATGTAGCTACATAACTGTTCAGCACATTGTTGAAGAAATTGCTCTTTTCCGTGTGTTGAGGTTAGTGACTATGGAAACTCCAGCCCAGTGTGCAGTCTGCTTCTGGAGAGCATTCTGCCCTGGGCTCAGTACTAGCCCTGTGCCAGCACCACTTTCTCAGTTGCTGCTGTTGAAGGAGAGCATTTCAACACCAACTCGTGTAAGCCCTCAAACATATTTTTCACAGTTGTTTGACTAATTCTAAGTCTACATTCCATATGAATTTTAGTACCAATGGTAGATTTACACAGAGAACCTATAGTTTTGGTAAGGTCTTGGCTGACCTTACAGAATCAGTGTTTGGAATTGACATCTCCACAACAGGAAACATTCCAACCCATAGAAATAGTGCATGCTCTTTTTGTCCCTTGGGTAGTCTTTATTTCTCTCAGCAGGGCCGTATGGCGTTCTGTGTTCAGTGTAGGTCTTTTACATATGTCAGACTTATCCCTAAGCATTTCATGTTTTTCATGATCTGAGTGATCTTTCTTATTTCCCTACTTGTAATTGAAGACAGGGCCTTATTCATTCCAGACAAGAACTTTACTGTGGGCGGAAGTTCTTGTCCCTCTGGGTCCTGTGGTTGCCTTTCAGCCCCAAATAAACACACAGACTCTATATTAATTATTAAAGTGTTGGCCGATGGCTAGGGCTTCTTATTGGCTAGCTCTGTCTTACTTATTAACCCATTTCTATTAATCTAAGTATTTCCACGTGCTTTTGCCTTAGCATAGAATGCCCGGACCGGCTATTCCTTTGACGTCTCTTTGTGGTCTCTTTCTGCCTATCTTTCCCAGAATTCTCCTCATCTCCTAGTCCCAACTATCTTCCTGTCTCTATTGGCCAAACAGTGTTTTATTCATCAACCAATAAGAGAAACATATACAGAAGGGCATCCCCAGTCACTTTTACCAATTTTTCACAGCTAATGAAATGGGTCCTAATCTTGTATTTTTGGCTTTTTTACTAATACATATAAAAGTATCTAGACGTTGTGGTGGATTCCTGTAATCCCAGCATTTAGGAAGCCAAGGCAGAGTGGTCATAAATTCAAGACTAGCCTGGGTTATGTAGTAGCAAAACCCTTCCTCAAAACAAAACAACAGCAAAACCAGAAGACGACTAATGGAATAAAGCAACCAATAAAGTGCTTTCTATCTAAGTGTGAGATCTGAATTTGATCCCCAAAACCTGTGTAAAAAAAAAACAAAACAAAAAAAAAAAAAAAAACAGGCGTGGGATTTATAGTCCCTGCTCTAGGGAGATGCTGACTGGTAAATTCTTGAACTCAATAACTGGTCTAGTCTCCTCAGCAAGTTCAAGGCCAATAGAGAGACACCAGTTGGGGGCGGGGGGGGGGCACACGGGAGAGAGTATGTAATTGATCTTTATATATTGATATGCTGTCATACAGCTCCACTGCAAATGGCTCGCTCTTTATTGTTGTTATTTGCTTGTGTGATGAGGTGGTGGATTTTATCACCTGGCCGGTTATTGCTGAGATTACAGTGTATACCACCATGCCAAGTCTGCTTACGTGTTCCACTAGGTATCTTGTAACTACCTTAGGATTTTATGTGTGGGAGGGAAGTCATGTTATCTTCTAGTAATAATGTTTTTCATAACAATCCTGAAGCTTTCTCTTACTTTTCTTGGCTGCTCTCTCTGTGCAGCCCTCTTTACCCTATGGCTCTGGTCTCCCGTATAGACACTTCCTGCCCTCCTCCTTCTGGTTTGCTTCGCCATCATGAGTATGTCTTGACTTCCACTAAAGGCTTTTCGACATATGGTTTTCAACTATAAACACTGTGAAACACATTGTTGATTTTCACATGTTAAATATTGCAAACTTTTACTTGGTTTTCCACATTTAATACTTGGATACCTTGAACACAATATTTTATTTAAGGATATGTCCCTCTTAGTTGTGATTGCTTTTACATATATGCAGCTTGTTAAAATCCTTGCTTCCTGTGCCTAGAGATTTGGCTGGAATCCCTTGCAGCAAACCTGGATTCTGTTCCTAGCACTCACATGGCAGCTCACAATTGCCTGTAATTTGAGTTCCAGGGGGGTCTAGTGCCCCCTTCTGGCCTCTGAGGACTCCTGCACACACATAATACACATGACTCTCTCAAGTACACACACATGCAAATTATGTTAATAAGTAGGACATGAAAAACATTCTTGCTTCTTAGTCATGAGGGTTACTGATCTGTAATTTTGCTTCTTTTTAATATTTTTTTTCCTGTTTTGATGTCAGGAATAATGATAGCATCCTGAATGAGTTAGGGAGCATTTGTTCCTCTTGAATGTTCTGGAAGCATCTGTACAGAATTGTTTAGGGTTTTTCCTTCTATCACTTGCATTTTCCAATTTGAGAAGGTATTCACATACAAACTTAATCCTCTCAATAGCCATTGCTCTGTCTAGGTCAGCTGTTTCTTCTTGATAAACAGTGGTATATATGTCTTTCAAGGAGTTTGTTCCTTTTGTCTAGAGTTTGTTCTTTCTTTGATCAAACTATTTTGAACCAGCACATGATGGGCATAGTTGCGATGGCAGAGGAAAGAAGTGCCATGTATTTTAAAGGAGAGGCTATAAATCATCAAAGCAAACCGTGTAGACTTTGAACAGGGATGGTGTTAGTGACACTGACAATGTTTTCTCCAGGAATGAGTATCTCCAATAGCAGCTGCACACCACCCTCAGTGTATGCTCCTTGGTTTAAGCATTTAAAAGATATTTCCTTCTGATCTTTAGATTTGTATAGGCTATCATTTTTTAAAAGAGATTTGTTTTATGTATATGATGAGTGTTTTGCTTGCATGAATACTCCCTGAGTGTCTGGTACCCATGGAGGTTAGAGGAAGCCATTGGCTTCCCAAGGATGGAGTTGTGGATGGTTATGTGCTGGGAACCAAACGTGGTCCTTTGCAAGAACAAGTGCTCTTAACGGCTGAGCCGCCTCTCAGCCCCTAGACTGCTAATGCTTATCCAAAGTTTCTTACAGTGGGTTTACTTTTTGTCTGTTTTTGCCATCTCCTGTGGCTCCTGCTGTCTTCCTTGGAGCTCTGTGGTTTTCTGCCCTTTGTCTTTCAGGTCAAAGATGAGCAGCATCAGTGTTCTCTGGGGAGCCTGAGGATCCCACTCAGCCAACTGCTTATGAGTGACAACATGACCATAAACCAGCGGTTCCATCTCAGCAACTCGGGTCCAAACAGCACTTTAAAAATGAAGATTGCCCTCCGGGTACTGCACACTTCTTAGCAGGACTCCATGGGAGGAGGTGGGGGGGGATAGCAGGGAGAGGAGCAGCTTCAGCTCAGTGTGGCAGGTGGTACCCCAGGCACAGGTCAGGTGACATGATGGCATGCTGAATCCAATCTAGACTCCATTCTGAGCGAAGCCTTTTTTTCCAGATTCAAGGACAGGCCAGGGTCATCTGGGAAGAATGTCTGTGCCCTGACATTGGATTCTCAAAAGTTGTTCAGAAAGCAGTTTGAGAAACCCTTGTAAGAGGTGGAATTCACAGGAATAAAAACTCGGTTTCTCTAAAATAAAGATACCTGAGTAAATACTGACAATAAACGCTTAAACGCTTAGGAAATGTCCCTAACGTATTGGGGCAGAGCCAGGAAGATGGCTCAGCAGGTAAAGCTGAGCTTCTCATGCCGGGCAGCCTGAGTGCAATCACCAAAACCCATGGAAAAGAGAGCTGATCCACAGGATTCTCCTCTGGCCTTGGCACACATGCCATGGCACACATAGCCAACTAAAAACAAAGTATATATGCATATACGTTACAATAAAGAGCCAAATTTTTATCTCAGTGCTGGGGTTTGAACCCCTAGTTTCACCCCTGCTAGGCCAGTGTTCTACCACTGAACTATGTGCCAGCCCTAAGGATGAGGAGTTTTGGGTTTTTTGTTTTGTTTTGTTTTGCTTTGCTTTTTATTACAATAGACTTAGTCTACTCAGGGTACAGTGGAAATATTCCTATTGTACACGATCAAGACCAAGACCAAGACGCAGTATAATTTGACAGTGGTAGAATAATAGCAACATTGCCTGTCTGCCAGTTCTAGAGCTCTTTTGGTGACAATGTAAAATGTGGGAAGTCTGTGAAATGAAGATGCTCACTATAGCTTTGGTTAATGAAACCAGAGAAAATTAGGGACTCAGAGTGTCTGCTGAGTGTAGCCCTGGCTTCTGTGGATGTTTTGCCGTCCACAGCATGCAGGACAAGGTGGCTGTTCTTTTATTACTCTTACACTCGGTTGCTTGCAGTGCTCTTTCTAGATAGCAAGGTATCTTGACATTTTTCCTTTGGGTGTTTCTGGTGAAAACCACCTGGAAGAATGTGACATCTTTTGCCAAGGACACATGGATCACTGGGTGATTGAGAGGGAGCCCTGTCCTTTAATTGGAGTGTATTCAAATGGAAGAGATTTGAAGAAGGCACAGAAAAGGTGTTTGTATTGCAGAACTGGAATAGTTTTAATTGCTTAAGGTTGCCTTTTTAAAAGTTGTTTTATATTTTGGAGACAGGTTCTCACTACGTGGCCCTGATTGTCCTTGGATTCTCTGTGTAGATCAGGCTAGCTTCAAACTTTCAGATCCGCCTGCCTCTGCTCCCAAGTACTAGGATAAAAGGCATGCACCACCATGCCTGATAAAATTTGATTTTGTAGTTTTCTGTAAAACACTGTTTTAGTAACTGCATAGCTGAATCTTAAACCCTTGCAAATGAATGCATCTGAAGCCACTCTTGTACCCGATGTCCCTGTCCCCACTGCTTTCCCTCAGGTCCTCCATCTTGAGAAGCAGGAAAGGCCTCCAGACTACCAGCACTCAGCCCAAGTGAAACGGCCGTCTGTCTCCAAAGAAGGGCGGAAAATGCCGGTCAAGTCTCAGCCGTCCATGTCTCCAGGCACCAGTGGCAGCAACACTGCTCCATCAACACCAGGCATGGGAGAAGATAAGCCTGTCAGGGAGGAGAAGCCCCAGCCCCCAGAGGCCAGCCCTCTAGGACATCGTGACCTAGGCAGGAGCTCTTCCAGCCTCTTGGCCTCTCCAAGCCACGTCTCAGCCAAGGAACCCACCCCAAGCATTGCCTCAGACATATCACTGCCCATTGCCACCCAGGAACTGAGGCAAAGGCTGCGCCAACTCGAAAAGTAACTAATGCTCACATCATTGTTTACCATGGAGTTTCCATCCCACACACGCCACAGGGAGGGAGATAGGATCTTAAGTTATCTGGACAAAATCTGGGTTGTGCCAGTTTGGTCATTGAGTCCTTGACTTTCAAAATAAAACTTGCTGCTTAGGACCTTGGCTGTGCTAGAAGAATAGAAGTAGAATAAGATGTTTCACAGGAGGGAAGTGTGAGGGACTCAGAGCTGTGTAGCCACCATAAACTCAGTGCATTCCAGGGACTGACTCCTGCATGGGTAGCTCCTGATGTGCCAAACACGATGTCACCTGCAAAGGTTTGGCAGAGGCTGGTCTTCTCTTCATTGCAGAATAGGGCCCTCGTCACCACCAAGTCCCCCGCTGGCTTTCTTTGCATATTTGTCATGATTTATAGGTAGTACTGATGATTCCCTTGGATAAGGAGGAAAAAGTTACTGAAAGCATCAGACATTACCCTTTCCTGTGGTAAATGTATTTTTGGTTGTGAGCCTAGCTGCTGAGGCATCTCTCCAGCCCTCCTGTGGTAAATGTTAAAGTCAATCTTTGAAACTATTCCTCTTCTTGTGTCATAAAGGATGTGTCCAGCTGTAAGGAAGTAGTAAAAGCAGAAACAGTGCTTATAAAAGTCCTCAGGGACACGAGCACGTGCCGTGTCTCTTTGTGCTCACTTCGCACGTGGGTCACTTTGGGAAAAGGAAGGCAGCTTCAGGCTGGGGTGCAGTGCAGCAACAGTTCACTAGGCCAGCAGCCGGCTGGGCTTTGGCCACAGGATTGATGCTTATCCTGAGGAGAACTCTGTGTCTCATCTGCGCCTTGAGTGCTCCCTGGCATGGAAAACTGTCAGTCTTGAATAATTAAGGAATCCTCAACCCTCAAGTGAAATAAATAATTTCAACTTGGTATATATATTCAGAAGTTTCAAATCATGTTTGAGTTCATGGGTAGTTAAGTCCCTTTTGCCTAGAAGAATGGACATTGTATTACTGCATAGATGGTAGCTGATGACACTATGCTGTTTCCACAGTGGGACCACCCTGGGACAGTCTCCCTTGGGGCAGATCCAGCTGACCATCCGGCACAGCTCCCAGAGGAACAAGCTCATTGTGGTCGTGCACTCATGCAGGTGAGGCTGGCCGACACCGCCACTGGTGCTGCTTGTTTTCTGTCTTACGTGTGTCAATAGCGTCTAAAGTAAGAGTATTCTTAGCTTATAAAAAGTCTGGTGACTATGACAAACCGGATTCTGAAAATGTGGAGTTCAGTTCAGGGAGGGATTCCTGGGGACCTTGTGTGTTGTAGCTGCTGCAGTTGTGACTGACGAGGGTGGGTGATGCAGAGACTGCCCCAGGGGCTCTGAAGACCGCCTGTCCACCTGCCTGTGGCTGTGGGTAAATGAATGTGCTTGGCTCATCATAGTCATCCTGGGAAAGGAAGGGGATGGGTCCATAGAGGAGGCTGGCCCTGTGCAGAAGCTGTGCTTGGAGATCCTAAAGAAGCCACCAGTGTGGCCACGTAAGTCCTACTGACAGAGGGAGCTTGTTAGTGTGTTAGAAGCAAGGGCCATGAATGCCCGCCCATACTCTGCGCTTAGGTAGTCAAGCCTAAAGTTACTCTGGCCAAGCTGCTAAAAGGGAAATGTAAAAGTGATGCCACCACCTGATGGTACAGAAACGCACTTAGGGGAAATCCAGTGTGTATTGCTCCTTGGGGGTTCAGATAAAAACTTGATAAACTAATTTGAATATGATTGAATTCTTTTTTTTTTAATTCTAATATTTAGTCTTCTCTGGTTTGTGTTATAAGAAACCTCATTGCCTTCTCAGAAGATGGCTCTGATCCGTATGTCCGCATGTACTTATTGCCAGACAAGAGGAGGTCAGGGAGAAGGAAAACACACGTGGCAAAGAAAACACTAAACCCCGTGTTTGATCAGAGGTATGGTGGGCACTTCATGTAGTTAGGAGGCTTCCTGGGTGAGACGGCAGGTGGTTAGCTAAGGCAGCCCTGAGAAACTCGCCTCAACCCGGAATACTGTTGGGAAATGATGCTCTAGCATATTCCAGCGCATGTTGCTTGTTAAATAAGTTAAGTAAGAAGCACAGACCTTTAAGCGGAGGCACTAAACATATATCCACGTTACAATGTTACAGATTAAAGGTCAAGTGTTTGGTTTGGTTTGGTTTGGTTTGGTTTGGTTTTGGTTTTTCAAGACAGGGTTTCTCTGTGTGGTCCTGGCTGTCCTGGAACTCACTCTGTAGGCCAGGCTGTCCTGGAACTCATAGAGATCCCTCTGCCTCCGCCTCTGCCTCCTGAATGTTGGGATTAAAGGTGTGTGCCACCACCGTCTGGCTGAAGTTCAAATTGTTGATGACTGAAGAACTTTGATTTGGTGGGTAGCATATATTGATGCTGAATTTTAAATTGAGAAGAATGTAAAGACACATTTAAAATTTTATAACATAATAACATAAAATATACATTTTTGAGAAAAGCTCTACTCTTCTAAAACACTTTCAAAGATTAGTGTAGATATAAATTGCAAATCACAAGTGGTCATCTTAGTAGAAGCTACCTTGGTGTGGTTGGTGGCTGGTCTGATGGGCCCAGCCGTGTGTGGGTACCCCAGAAATCCCTTGGAGCACCAGTCTCTGTGCAAACTGCCCCCGCCTCATAGTTCTGACAGTTTAGTATGTGCTAGTGTTGGGGAAATAACACAACTGAATAGTCTCTGTTGGCTCAGTGCTGCAGCTTCTTCAGAAGTACCTCTCCCTCACTGTTTTCCTGCAGCAACTTTATTTTAAACTAAGGTCAGTTTTAGAAGAAAAAGCAGACAGCGTTTAGAACAACCTCAAGAACAAAATGCCATTTTTAGTTAAAAGGAAATGCAGCAGGGTCACAGAGAATTGACAGATGGTGTCTGTTTCCATTGCAGCTTCGATTTCAGTGTGTCGCTGCCTGAGGTGCAAAGGAGAACGCTGGACGTAGCTGTGAAGAACAGTGGTGGCTTCCTGTCCAAAGATAAAGGGCTTCTTGGCAAAGTAATTTTTTTAAAAGTCCTTGTATCCTGCACACTGTAAAATTGAACACTTCCCTGTAGTGCAGTTGAAGAAAGGTTGATTTTTTTTTTTTTTTTGAAGCTTTGAAAACTACTCAATACTACATTGGAAGAAAATATGAAGGAACATATTCTCAAAGGGCCCACAGTCTTAGCTAATTGTGGTTCTCCCTCTAGCATGTCATTGAGTTTCTTCTTCCAGATTTTCTTGTGTCTTTTCCCTGTCACAGTTAACCTTGGTGTAGGATTATATTTCCTTTAACAGTGTACAGAGGTTTAGATAGGGAAAGAGGCTGTGAGTTGTTGGTGCCACTTTGTCAGCCGCAGAAGTGAAAAGTCTGTATGACCTAGGCTACTGCCGGTAGATACGAGAGACAGCGTAAAGGAGGGAGGTTTACTTTTCCCTCCTGACTTGAGGCGTTTCAGTGCCTGGGCACTTTGGCACCACGGTTTCCGGGCTAGCTGTAAGGCAGAAAGAACTGCTCGGTGAGGAGCACGAGGCAGAACCAAGCGGCCCTGCATAGTGGCCAGAAATCAGAGAGAGATAGGAGAAGGAGAGAGATGGGAGAAGGCCAAAGAGAAAGTACAGATTTCCAGAACACATCCCAGTGCCCTGCTTCCTGCCCCTGGACCCCTAGCTACCCAGCAATTCCGTTGCCGTCAGAGTCAGTTCACATCCAAGCTGCACCCTGATATTAGTAACATACTTGCCAGTGTCTCCAGAAATTGCCTCTGCCTGTGTCCCATAATATTCTTAATACTGTCAGATACAAGAATGATCTCTTGGACATACTCAGTCATGTAAAGGTTGAAAAGATGTTTGAAAACGATAACTTTAGTTTTGAGGAACGGGAGAGTTCCGATTGTCAAATTCAGTAATTAGAGAGGTAGGAGGCAGTGGTGGATGGTCTAAAAGGAGTTACTCAACACATTCACAGTGCCTTCTTTATCCCACAGGTGCTGGTTGCTCTGGCATCTGAAGAACTCGCCAAGGGCTGGACACAGTGGTGAGTGTGCCCCTCTCCCAACTAGCAAGCAGTTCCCAGAGAAACCTAGCCATGTGCGCAGCACCACGCCAAACTGTACTATTGTACTTTTCTGTGTTTTCTCAGGTATGACCTCACAGAGGATGGAACAAGGCCACAGGTGATCACGTAGCCACGCTGGACATAAGGCCTATTTCTCAACGTGTATCGAACCACCTCAACATGGAACACACTTCTTGCAGATGTACCAATGCTATTTTTATAATTTTAAGTATTGAGTTATACATACCTTAATAATTTTATAAAGCTGTTGGCACTGTAGGAAAATTTGGCCAACATTATTGTTAAATTCCCCCGTTGAGTTCCAGCACTTCACCAGGCACTGCGGAGTGCAGTGGTGCGGTGTGTCCCTGTGCCGTGTGGAGCTCTGTCAGCCACACCTGCTGGAAGCAGCGGGCACCTGCACTTGCTCACCATGGCCTTGCCTTGCATCCCGGAGGTGCACTACACCATGTACATAGACTCTGGATTTTGTAATATCTACATGCCGGCTTGGATAAAGAAGAAAGTGTATCAAGGAAATACGTATTTTCTTCTAAAATGTATTAAATTCTGTGACCAATAATGATTTTCAGCAAAAAGTTCTCAGAGATCCATTGTGTGATATGACTTTTTTAAGGGAAAATGGAAAGAGTATTAAATATTAGGATATTTATGTCTAGTATGAATGATAAAGTGTTCAAATTATTAACATTATTGTAAATAGGAAGATAAGAGTGAGAAGCCAGTGAATGACTTATTAAAAAGTGTGTAACTGAGTAATAGACAATACCAAGAGTATTGTCAAAGCTCATGAATCACAGTATACTCATATGAAGTTTATTACATAAGCAAGGAATGTGCTGTTCATTTGTAATTGTTTGTTATAACTGATTGATGAAATGGTGCAGAGATAGACACATGCCAGGTGTGGTACCTCATACCTGTAACCCCAGGATGCATGGGAGGCCAGTGCAGGAAGACCAGGAGTTAGAGGGCCTGCCTGGGCTGCACAGCAAACCTATCTTGGGAAAAAGAAATGCATAGTTTATACTTTGCCCAAAGCATAGGAACTAACCTTGGTTAGGAGACAAGGTATTGTCCAGATTGGACGTAAGCCTGGTTTGTTTTGTCCGTGTTTCTAACCCCATAAAGACAAGGTCTGTTGTTAGTAGAAAGTGGTGGTAGAACAAATGGGTGAACACAAGGAGTAACATGCTAACGACTGACACTGTGCTTGCTCTTGCTGGGAGGACCTGGCTCTGCCTCCATCGCACAGAGCCTGCTGGGACCCCCACACATATGGGACCTCACACGACAAAGAGAGAGACCCTGCCCAGCGCCGGCAACATCAGCTGTCAGTCTCGCCAGTTTCTGGATATCCTCAGCCTGTACCATGTCAGGTCATAACATTGGGATAGTATTATACGTCTTTTGTTTTAGAGTCCTTTTTTTTTCTCTTTAGATTATGAAAAACATGTTTTACATGTGTTGGAGTCCCCCGTCCCCCCCTTCATCCCCCCCCAACCTCTTGTGAGGTGAGGCTATATCGCAGTGTTATAAGCTATGCATGTCTGTAAACAAAGTATGCACAAATGGTTTTTGCATAGACGTTTTCTATGTGTGCATTTTAACCTACAGGAGAAAAGGGCTTTCCGCCATGAGATCGTTTAAAACTATGTACACTTACAGCAGGAAAATGCAGCTTTGTAATCAAAATTGGAGTAGTTCCTTTCACTTGCTTCCTGGAACTAAACCACCCATGGGAAGCTTATCTGACTAAACCTTCCAAAGTGCCTATGATGAATACAGAGTGTTCTGTTTCTACTCTCCTCCCGTCTGCAGATGAGAGTGTGCCTCAGTTTGTAATGTACCATGGGTGCATTTGTAACGGAGCCTGTGGCCAGAGTACTGTCACCCTCTGTCTGTTGACTCCTGCCTTTGAATCCTGTTTATAAATCTTTCTATTAGTGTGCAGGATTGGTTTTCCTAGGAGAAAGTTGATGTGTATGTGGGTGGCAGTTTAGTCACAGGAAAAAGACAGGTAATATCTTATTAAAACTAGTTGCTCCATCATGCTATTAGATTTTTTTTCCTGAAGTATCTTTTCAGTTGGTCCACTGAAAGGGCTTCAGTCATAATCTATAAAGGAGATGTTCTCGCTGAAATTGTATCATGTCAGTGGTTTTTCACCAACAACTTAAACATCTTGGTTTTGTACCCACATGCTTAATCTGTTCAGTGTGTATTTTATTTAAGAGAATACTTTTCTTAACAATTAGGCAAATTGAATATATTTAAGGGTACAATCCCCCAATAAGTCCTCAGTATGGCGCCCTCTGCTGCAGTCACAAACACTGGCACCGGTGAGTTCAGATATAGCCTCCCCACCTGCATCATCCCAGTCCCCCTAGCAGCTGTCTCCCTGCTCTTTGGAAAGGAGAAAGTCCAGTGATACCAGCCAGCCTCCTGGTTGTAGTCCTGTGTCCTGCACGTGGAGAGCTGAGTTGCCATCAAGTCACGTTCCAGTATCCTGAAGATAGAAGATACTTTGAGTTCTCAAAATGTTAACACTCAGTTTTTAATGACTTATCTAGGAAAAAAAAAAAAAAAAGAACTTTAAGTTTTCTACTTGGAACCAAACCAGTGAGGGGAAATTAGTGATTTGAAGTACAGCCCCACTAACTCACTCACGTGGTGGCTTATCCTGTGCCTTAAAGTACCAAGGGATTTTCACGTATCAGGTGAAGACAAAAGCAGCCTAGCAGCTACCGTTACCACCACTTGTATTCTGCACCCGAGAGTCCCTCTATAGGCAGTCCTTATGCAGAGGTCAGTCCTCAAGACAGTTTGGGATTCTTTCAAAAACCCCAGGCAGATGCAGAGAGCACAGGTTCCTGGATGTGTATTCTCTGGTTGCTGCAATGACTGGTCCCATCTGGATTACCCACTGTAGAGGAGGACCACAGAGGATTGGATTTTCGGTTTTTTAATCATAGAATGTGCTTTTTGCTTAATTAATTTTACATAACAGCACATGTATTTATTCAATAAAACTTTTGTTAGCTCACTTGTAATATGCTTTTTTGTGTGTTTGTCTCTTGAAGTGAAATCTTCAGTGTGGAAACAGATGATTTGGAAAGTCCACGTGCTGCGTCATGTATATTTGCTGTCTGTGCCTTCCTTCATCGTCAGGGTGGTTTGATACTACTCTTATTCCCATCTGGGCTTTGACTGTTCTCCACCTAGCTCACAGACTCTGGGTTTTACAAGCAGCTCTTTGAAGGGTAATGGCTTGGTAGGAAAAGTCAGTTAAATAAGACTGGAACACTGAGAAAGTCCCTGAAAGAGCTGCTGAGATAGGTGTGAACAGGGGTGAAACACTCAGGTATCCAATATCGAAGCAGGCCTAAGGACACACTTTGTAGTCTTTCTGAGGCATCCCCACGTCTAACATCGTGAGTGTCTCTGCTCATATGCCGAAACGTCACCTTTGCTTGGCCTTGTTTGTTTGTTGATAGGGTAGCCAAGATTGGCTTTCAACCAACAGTATTCCTGCCTCAGCCTCCTAAATGTTGAGATCACAACTTTGCTCCCAATCTCGTTTCTTTACCCGTCGTAACGTCTTGCTTTACATCCCTCCATCTAAAAAAAAAAAAAAAAAAAAAAAAAAAAAAAAAAAATCATAGTATACCATGCTTGCTGGGCAAGCAAGCACTCTACCACCAAGTCACACCCTTGGCTGTCTCTGCATCACTCTTCACTGTCAGTGTGCCTAAAAGACCTTTTTCTTTTTTCTCATACCTAGACTCTAAATATTGAAGTACACATTTCCTGTCTTTTTCATTTTTATTTTGTGTTCTTAAAGCCACTGTCCATCTGTGCTTTCCAGATTGATGCCACAGACTTTCCTTCAGTGTTCAAGGCCAGTGCATCTAGTTCCTAAAACCTCTGTCTTACTTCTGTCTTTGTCTGTTTGTCTAAGTACCTAGCTAGAGACTTAAACAGCATCATGCCCCGGCACATCCTTCCTTGTGTGATAGCTGGTACACGGACGGACGGACGGAGGGAGGAAGGGGGGGAGAACTTTAATCCTGACTTGAGGATGTACCCACTTCTGCTACAGCCTCAAGCCCATCTTGGTCTTTTCTACTGTCAACTCCCAGTTTTCAGCCGCTCCTGTCTTTGTTTTTTACTAACATCCAGAGGAATCTTTAAAAAAAAAAAAAAAACAAATCCCAACTACTCTTTTCCATTGCCCTTGCACTAAAGACTAAGAGCCTGTAGCTCCCAGGCCCTGAGACTCTGCCAGACGCATCTCCAACAGGGTCTGTTTATACTTGTTTACTTGTTTAATTACCAGGGTTCTTCCCACCTCAGCATCAACTTGATGCTCTTCCAAGGATACTGGCCTGAACAGTGCTCACTTCCCGTCAAATAAATTCAAAGTTGATTCCCTCGGGGTCCTTTACCAGCCTCTAACCTTAAATGGCCCACCCACCCAGACCCTTGGCACCATGCTTCTTTTGTTCATCTTAATGAAGTTTTGGTTGAGCATTACTTATGATTTTTCTGCCTGGACTATAAACCACTAAGAGCAGAGTTTTCGTGAGTATTAGTTTTTGACGGCTGTCATGAGCATGCAATTGATAACCCAAGTCTGCTGAATAGATGATCTATAAACATTGAGCATACAAGACTCTTGTGTAATGAGCTCCCACTCAACAAATCCTAGTTCCCTCCTGACAGTTTTATTAAAGGCTGAACGTGAATGTGGTGAAACATGTAATAATAAAATAGAGATCAAAAAGCTACTGGCATAATTATCTTAAAAACAGTTGGGTCACAAAAATGAGAAAAATGAGAAATTAGGAAGTCTTAATTTATTTGGTGTTATTCTGGAACTCCTAGACAACTCACTATGAAAAAAGTAAATTGTAAAGTACATACTGAGAGAGAAATGTATCTTCAGAGATGGTTGCCTACTTGGGAACTCCAAGAGAATAGCCCAAAAAACTCAGGTTTAACAGATGTTTAATGAGGTTAACTGTGAGATTATAAAATCTTCATTTCTTACATTCTTTTTTTTTTAAGATTTGTTTATTATGTACACAGTTTTCTGTCCTCATGTGTCCCTGCATGCCAGAAGAGGGCACCAGATCTCATTATAGATGGTTGTGAGCCACCATGTGGTTGCTGGGAATTGAACTCAGGACCTCTGGAAGAGCAGACAGTGTACTCTTAACCTCTGAGCCATCTCTCCAGGCCCATTTCTTACATTCTAATAGTAATAGCAATTTAAAAGAAAATGAACTTTTTTTTAAAAATCATACAACAGCTTAGGGCTACAACAGCAGTGAAAATCTACAACTTCCAAGGGGGGGACAGGATGAATTTAGTAAATGTCTTATTCCTGAAAAACTGCTGCTGTATGACTTGTCTGGATCCTAGGAAATCTGTGTCTACTGTGTTTGTCAAACATAATAATGCAGCTGCCTGAACCTGTGGTACCTCTAGAGACAGAAGTTGACAAAACAGGAAAATACAAAAAAAAAAAAAAAAAAAAAAAGGTTGTAGAATGGAGGACATAGAAAGGTATGTGTGAGGAGGGCGTGTTCATCCCCAGAAATGAGCTACAAAAGTCCTAGTTTTATTTCTGGGTGCCATAAAGAGTAAGGGATTAGTTGAACCAAAGTACTAAAAAAAAAAATCTTGATTCACCTGCTAACTAATCACATAAAGTAAAGAGGCAGCAACTTCAAAGAACATACCTTATAGGTATTATAGTTAATCCAGGAAAGCCACAACACAGCCTGTGGAGAGGAAGAAGGCACTTCTTTGCAGAACTGTGATACTATATTAAGTTTTTAACCTCAAAATCATGAGGTACCCGAAGAAATAAAATGTAGGCCATATGCCAGGGGCAGGGACAAAAACAGTCAGTAGAGCCGGGCATTGGTGGTGCACGCCTTTAACCCAGCACTCGGGAGGCAGAGGCAGGCAGATCTCTGAGTTCAAGGCCAGCCTGGTCTCCAGATCGAGTGCCAGGATAGGCTCCAAAGCTACACAGAGAAACCCTGTCTCGAAAAACAAAACAAAACAAAACAAACAAAGTCAGTAGAAACTGTCTCTAAGGAAGTCCAGATGACCTTAAGTTAGCTACTGTGATAATGTTGAAACAAACAAACTACATGTGTGAAGAATGGGGAAACACAGGAGAGCAAGTAGAGATTCTTGAGTACAAGAAACTCAGGGTTCGTTGCAGTTCAGCAGATTGGAGCAGACGGAAGAAAGAGCATATGAGATAGGTCAATAAAGACTATCGAATCCAAGGAACAAAGGTGGCACAGAATAAAGAGAACTGACATATAGTGAGAGACCCACACAGGATGGAGAGGAGCACCTAGAAAATGTTTTAAGAAACACTGTAGGCCAATGAGATGGCTTCGCAGATAAAGGCACTTGCCACTAAGCCTGGGTGCCCATGTTCGTTCTGCACCCAGACTATAGATTGTAGGAGAGAATCAACTCCTCCAAGTTGTCCTCTCAACTCCATATGTATACTGGCAAAGGCACAAACAAACAATAAATAAGTAAACAATGTTATTTTAAGGTGTTTTATCATTTTGTATTTTAAAACAATCTTTTCTGACTTTACCCACCAATCCCAGTCCCCACCCCACCCCCTCCTCCTGTTCTCCCCACCCTATCCTCCACCCACTCCTCAGAGAGGATAAGGCTTTCTTCCCATGGGGAGTCAACGAAGTCTAACATATCTCTTAAAATGTTTGTAAAAGAACAATATGAGGTTGTGTCAGGTCCAGCCAACCTATTCAGACGTTCCTGACAGGAGTGAGGACTGAGAAAAAAAAAGAAGTTACAGACACCCCAAGCCCCAAGTTTCTTACTCATCGCCCTTTATATACATACCCCAAGCAAAAGGGGAGGGTAAAAGACTTCCTTACTATGATACAATGAACAAACAAACGTTAATTACCTGCTTAAGATCCAAAACATCTGGTCACCACGCCCTAAGTCAACATCCTATGGTTTAGTCTTGAGGGTCATGACATCCAGTAGCCACACCTTGGGCCAAACACCCTGTTGTTTAAACTCGAGGAGCAAGAATAGGTTTGAACTCTCTGACCTTAAGATGGAACAGATTAAAAGGCCCAAGTCCACTTCCAGGTTTGAAATCTACCAATACCCACCAATCCTTGAGCACAAAATCTCACCAATTCCTGGACTTGGTTTAAGATTTCTTCAATTCCCCACCATGGAAAACTCCTCCCCCAAGAAACCCTCTATAAAGCCTGCCTCCTGCTCAGCTCCCTGCTGCTTCTTGCCCAAACCGAGGCAGCCCCAATAACTTGTGTGAGACTTACTGTGTGGTGTGTCATTGTATTCTCTGGTTCCTGACTGGGTAGGCTTTGGTGAATCAAGCATCCCCTGGTTTAGTATCTTGATGTTGTAATCATAGCAATCTCCCCGACCTATGAGGAGAAGCTTCTAATGCTCGCTCAGAGAAACTGATCTCAGCCAAGCTCTGAGCATCTGTGTTAATATTCATGCTTTATAAGATCTCTGAGATATAATTTTAACTGTGAAAATTTCTTTCTTAAAGTGACCAAGTGGTGTGCCCATCACTGCTAACTTCTAATAATGTTCATTACCTCAAAACTCACCATCATTAGCAGTTACTCTCCATTTACCGCCTTCCACCCAGCAAAGCCTAATCTTTCTGTCTCTGCAGACTTTGAAAGCAGTTGAGACTTTGATATAAAGGACATCACTCCCTATAGCTATTAATTAGTTCCTGGCTTCTTCCGCTGAGCATAATGCTTCAAGGTTGTCCCTGGTAAAGCATTTATCAGCACGTCATTTGTTACGGCTGAACACCTTTCCACCAAATAGAATACTTCTGTTTGTGCATTTGCCTATTGATAGACATCTGGGGACTTCCCTTTTTTGGTCATATGGTAGTCCTGAAAGGCTCGTAATCAAGTATATATTGGACAGATGCTGGTATGACACCTCACTAGATAGCCCCATTCCCCATGTAGGTTCAGATGATGTG